AAGAATTATGGATGGAGGTTCATGACATTGTACAGGAGACAGGGATCAAGACCATCCCCAAGAAAAAGAAATGCAAAAAGGCAAAATGGTTGTCTGAAGAGGCCTTACAAATAGCTGAGAAAAGAAGAGCAGCTAAAGGCAAAGAACAGGAAAGATATACCCATTTGAATGCAGAGTTCCAAAGAATAGCAAGGAGAGATAAGAAAGTCTTCCTCAGTGATCAATGCAAAGAAATAGGGGAAAACTAGAATGGGAAAGACTAGAGAGCTCTTCAAAAAAATTAGAGATGCCAAGGGAACATTTCATGCAAAGATGTGCACAGTAAAGGACAGAAATGGTATGGACCTAACAAAAGCAGAATACATTAAGAAGAGGTGGCAAGAACATACAGAAGAACTATACAAAAAATATCTTCATGACCCATATAATCATGATGGTGTAATCACTCACCTAGAGCCAGACATTCTGGAATGTGGAGTCAAGTGGGCCTTTGGAAGCATCACTACGAACAAAGCTAGTGGAGGTGATGGAATTCCAGCTGAGCTATTTCAAATCCTAGAAGATGATGTTGTGAAAGCACTGTACTCAATATGCCAGCAAATTTGGCAAACTCAGCAGTGGCCACAGGACTGGAAAAGGTCAGTTTTAATTCCAATTCCAAAGAAAGGCAATGCCAAAGAATGTTCAAACTACTGCACAGTTGCGCTCATCTCACATTGTAGCAAAGTAATGCTCAAAATTTGCTAAGCCAGACTTCAGCAATACATGAACCATGAACTTCCAGATGTTCAAGCTGGATTTAGAAAAGGCAGAAGAACCAGAGATCAAATTGCCAACATCCGCTTGATCAGTGAAAAAGCAAGAGAGTTCCAGAAAAACATCTGCTTTATTGACTATGTCAAAGCCTTTGATTGTGTGGATCACAACAAACTGTGGAAAATTCTTAAAGAGATGGGAATACCAGACCACCTGACCTGCCCCTTGAGAAATCTGTATGCAGGTCAAGAAGCAACAGTTAGAACTGGACATGGAACAACAGACTGGTTCCAAATAGGGAAAGGAGTATGTCAAGGCTGTATGTTGTCACCCTGCTTATTTAACTTACATGCAGAGTTCAGTTACGTCGCTCAGTTGTGTCTGACTCTTTGTGACCCCATGAACCACAGCACGCCAGGCCTCCCTGTCCATCACCAACTCCTGGAGTCCACCCAAACCCATGTCCATTAAGTCGGTGATGCCATCCAACCATCTTATTCTCTGTCATCCCCTTCTCCTCCTGCCCTCAGTCTTTCCCAGAATCAAGATCTTTTCAAATGAGTCAGCTTTTCCCATCAGATGGCCAAAGTATTGGAGTTTCAGCTTCAAAATCAGTCCTTCCAGTGAACACCCAGGGCTGATCTCCTTTAGGATGGACTGGTTGGATCTCCTTGCAGTCCAAGGGACTCAAGAGTCTTCTCCAACACCACAGTTCAAAAGCATCAATTCTTCGGTGCTCAGCTTTCTTTATAGTCCAACTCTCACATCCATACATGACCACTGGAAAAACCATAGCCTTGACTAGATNGTTCCTCTGCCTTTTCTAAAACCAGCTTGAACATCTGGAAGTTCACAGTTCACGTATTGCTGAAGCCTGGCTTGGAGAATTTTGAGCATTACTTTACTAGCATGTGAGATGAGTGCAATTGTGCAGTAGTTTAAGCATTCTTTGGTATTGCCTTTCTTTGGGATATGCAGAGTACATCATGCAAAATGCTGGGCTGGATAAAGCACAAGCTGGAATCAAAATTGCTGGGAGAAATGTCAATAACTTCAGATACGAAGATGACACCACCCTTATGGCAGAAAGCAAAGAAGAACTAAAGAGCCTCTTGATGAAAATGAAAAAGCTAGCTTGAAGCTCAACATTCAAAAAATTAGGGACTTCCCTGTGGTCCAGTGGCTAAGACTCTGAGCTCCCAATGCAGGGGGCCTGGGGTTCAATTCCTGGTCAGGGAACTAGACCCCACATGCTGCCATAAAGACTGAAGATCCTGTATGCTGCAAGTAAGACCCAATGCAACCAAATAAATAAATATTTTTTTAAAAATTCAGAAAACTAAGATGATGGCATCTAGCCCCATCACTTCATGGAAAATAGATGGAGAAACAATAGAAAGAGTGAGAGACTATTTTTTGGGGGTTCCAAAATCACTGCAGATGGTGACCACAGCCATGAAATTAAAAGACGCTCCTTAGAAGAAAAGCTATGATCAACCTAGACAGTATATTAAAAAGCAGAGACATTACTTTGCTGACAAAGGTCCATCTAATCAAAGCTAAGGTTTTTCCAGTAGTCATGTGTGGATGTGAGAATGGACTATAAAGAAAGCTGAGCACCAAAGAATTGATTTGAACTGTGGTGTTGGAGCAAGACTCTTGATAGTCCCTTGGACTGCAAGGAGATCAAACCAGTCAATCCTAGAGAAAATCACCTCTGGATATTCATTGGAAGAAGTGATGCTGAAACTCCAATACTTTGGCCACCTGATGTGAAGAACTGATCATTGGAAGAGACCCTGATGCTTGAAAGGATTGAAGGCAGGGGGAGAAGGGGACAACAGAGGATGAGATGGCTGGATAGCTTCACTGACTTGATGGACATGAGTTTGAGCAAGTTCTGGGAGCTGGTGATGTACAGGGAAGCCTGGCATGCTACAGTCCATAGAGTCATAAAGAGGTGGACACGACTGAGTGACTGAACTGAACTACAAATTCTGCTAAGCCGCCTAACTTTTTTGAACCTCCGTTTACTTCTGTTAAATGTTTTGTGTGAAGACTGAAGGTGGTTGCCTACATAAACAGCCTAGTGTTGAGCTTGGTCATAACCTGTAATGGTTAACTTCTCTTGTGTTCTAACTAAGTGCCATGCACCATGCTGAGCACTTCATATGTGTCGTTTCCCCTTCATCTGCAGAACAGCACAATTCAATTGATATTAGGATTGGCACTGGTATTAGGATCTAATACCAGTACTATCTCCATTTTACAAATGAGGACACTGAGACGCAAAGGTTAAATAGCTTTTCCCCAGTCTCACTTCTAATAGGAAGCTGAACTGAATCTGAAGTTCTTATACTTAACCTCTACAGTGTTCTATTGAATGTATTTTAGGTACTCAACAAATATGTGTTTCTTCCTTCTACTCCCATCCCTGCCATTTTCTGGTGTCTCTTTTTGTATCTCTTTTCCCAAACTTTAAACTTTTTATTTTGTGTTGGGAAATAGCCGATTTAAAATGTTGTGATAGTTTCAGGTGAACAGTGAAAGTACTCAGCCATACCTGTACGTGTATCATTTCTATATCTCTTGATGCTTGCCTTCTGTATTGGAGAGAAAGGTCTTTCTTCATCATTAGTCATTGCATCTCTGCTCTCCAAACTCTTCTCCAACATCAGGTATCCATCATTATTGCTTTTCTAGGACTTTTCCCATCACTTCTCCATGGATATTTCCCCATTATTGGAGAAAAAAAAATCTTCATTTCAACATCCCATTTCTCAACAGGATGTCACTGACTTCTGCTCACTTCCTTGCAGCCTGGCATTTCCCCCCTCGCTAAGAACATGGGAAGAGAAATTTGCAGTTTGTCTAAGTAGGAGGAGAGAAATCTTTTCATCTGAAGCAAGAGTAAGGGAGTAAAGGATGTTACTGATAAGGGTTAACCTTGAGGAAACATTGGGGAGTTCAGGCCAGCTGACCCTTATTTCCCTGCAAAACAGTAGGCGGGTTTATCTCCTGGGACCACGGGAGTTCACCGATTGGAAAACCTGAGGGGAATAAGGAAAGGTTAGTGACCAGGGAAAGGTAAAATGATTGGTAACGTTCTCTAGAAGTGGCACCACTGGCAAGGTGAGAAGTTTGTTTCCGTCAGAATATACAGCTGGTGCAGTGTATGTGTGGATAAGGAAGAAAGTTAAATTCATCCTGAGTCAAGAGTTGGCCGGGCTTTTGTCGTGACAGGTGAGGACACGGGCAAGGGAACAGATGGTCGTTAGGACACAGTTGAACCAACTGCCTATGAGGCAATGGAAGGAAGGAACTGGAGCGTTGACAGCTGAAAAGGGTGGGGAGGGAGACTGTGACCCACAGAAGCTGGGCTTTGAGGTCTTCAGTAGGCTTGCCATTCATCCAGTGAAGAGCTTTCAGTACCTGCTGTTGTCAAGACTTAAGGAGGAACTGCCGGACATTATTGAGTATCTATCTGTTTTAAGCAATTTGCTAAGCACAGGGACACAAAAATAGAGCAAGATGCAATCCCTGCCCTCAAAGAACTTAGAGTTTATAGGAGAAACTCACATATGCATTGAAATGTACAAAGGTCACTTGATCTGCATAGAGGTCTTTAGACGAGAAATGGGAACCAAGAGATGAGAATTGAGTCCTTGGGAAGCCCATTGCCCTGAAGTGGGGGTAACCATTTCACCTCTGCTGCCTTGCCTCCCGGTAATCGATTCTGAGCTTTTTGGACAAGTTACTTGCACTGTGATCTATATGTACTAGGAACTAGTGGATTTAAAAAAATACTTATTTGGCTGTGCCAGATCTTATTTGTGGCCACATGAATATTTAGTTACAGCATGCGAACCCTTAGTTGAGGCACATGGGATCCAGTTCCCTGCGTGCATGCTAAGTCGCTTCAGTCGTGTCGGATTCTTTGTGACGCCATGGACTGTAGCCTACCAGACTCCTCTGTCCATGGGATTCTCCTGGCAAGAACACTGGAGAGGCTTGCAATGTCCTTCTCCAGGGGATCTTCCTGACCCAGGAATCAAACCTGTGTCTCCTGCATTGCAGGCAGATTCTTTACCCACAGAGCCACCTGGCAAGCCCCTAATTCCTGACCAGGGATCAAACCCAGGCCGCCTGCATGGGGAGCATGGAGTCTTAGCCGCTGGACCACCAGGGGAGTCCCTTGGACTAGTGAATTTTTATAGATTTATTAAATATCTCTTTGTCCCTAGGTGGAAGAAGCCGGGCAGGTGTTCCTGTTGATGAAAAAGGATTATCGAATCTCCCGAAATGTTCGCCTGGCTTGGTTCCTCAATCACCTGCACCAGACTGTGCAGGCCACACCCCAAGAGATGCTGGTGAGGCCCAGAAACATGCACAACATGAGGGCTGACCCCAAGGACCTGTTTTTTTTAGGAGAGTGCTGAAAACAGGAGGGGAGACTAACTCTGAGGGGTCCAATTCTAGGAGGGGCGAGTGACTTTGCCCACAATATTTCACAGGGGAAATTTTGTCTAGTCATTTTTCCAGCTTGGAGAAGTACTTGGTTGGGTTGTGGGAAGTAGAGCCAGTCATTCTGGGTCTGGAAGTCAGGTACTGGAGAGAAAGGGGTGACTTCCCTTATTCTTCCTCTTCTCTCCATCATCAGCTTCAGTCTGAGCAGGAGCTGGAAGTCCTCAGCGTCCTGCCTCCTGGGTGGCAGCCAGATGAGCCGGTGGTCCCCAGGCCCTTCCTCCTTGTACCATCCACCCGGGTCACCTTCCTGGCCTGGCAGTATCGGTTTGTCATTGAGCTGGACCTCAGCCCATCTACTGGCATTGTGGTAAGGGGTTAGTTGAGGGGAGGCAGTGGGAAGAAAGGATTGGGTAGGAAGTGAGGAGTAAGAAGAGGCAGCCTGAGATAAGTGAAGAATGATCCCACAGTGGTACCACTGTGGAAAGGAGACAGGTGTGTGAAGGAATGGTGGGTGTTTGAAGACAGAGCCCATCCCATCTGTGCACTGTGTTGGGGGGTATGATCAACCTTAAGAATCTCAACCGCGGAAGCTGCTTATACCTGCCCTCTGCTTGGGGCTGTGTTTGGTTACCCTTGAGACACTTTTCTTTGCACTGCCCTCAGGATGATTCCACAGGGGAGATCTTGTTTGATGAAGTTTTCCATGCCCTCTCCCGCTGCCTAGGCGGGCTGCTCCGGCCCTTCCGAGTGCCTGGATCTTGTATCGACTTCCAGCCTGAGATCTACGTCACTATCCAGGCCTACTCCTCCATCATTGGCCTGCAGTCCCATCAGGTATTGCATCCTTTCTCCATGTCTGTATCCTCAGACCTAATTTTGGGTAGTCCACTGACCAAGTCCTTATCCCATCTCTACTCTCGATGCTCAAAGTCCCCAGCTCTCCTCAAACCTATTCCTAGTCATCTCTGTAAGTCTCTCTCCTCTTTAAAGTGTCTATTGCTCTGGCCTTAAAGAGCCTTCCCGTAGCATCAGGTGAGTTGGCACTGACTGGACAGATGCCTCTCTCATTGCTTCTGTAAGTCTCTGGTCCTGCTCCTGAATGTCTGTCTTCTCTCCCCTGCCCCTTTTAGTTCCATCAGAAGGCTTGATACTATCCTAACTCCTTGCACTGTCTCTAGGAGACGGTCTTTTGGGACAGTTTTGTGGTTTTGAAATATAACAAAGACCCAGAAATATGATTCTTCCAAGGAGAGAGGAGGGTCATTTTTCTCCTGGAGCCCTGAGAACTGTCGGGTGTTAATGCTGACCATACAGATAATTACAGGCTTATCCAACACCCAGGCAGGCTGTCAGAAGGCACTCCTTTTGGAGAATGGCCAAGTCTGTTACTGGAATATCTGTTTGGGGCTTAGATAAGTATTGCCCCAGTTTCCCCTCATCTGCTTGTAACCACCCTTAACTCATTGGTAGGGGCTTACCCTGAAACAGTCCCTGATGACTGCATTGTCGACTTAGCTATCAAACTGGCTTTGAGAGAGGGGGATGCAAAAAACAGCATCTGAGGGGCTGAAATATGCACATGGCATTTAGTACATGCCTGGATCCCAGCCCTCTTCCCAGGATTAAAGTGTTCTCCTAGTGCTGGTGGTGGACTACATCCCCAGACAGAGACCAGGCTTTGCAGGTACTCACAGTCAAGGTGAGAAAAGTTTAGATGTTAGGTGATCACACAACACTTGGTTCACTTCGACAAACACTTAGTGAAGCCCGATCGATGCCAGGCCTGGGCTAGGTCCTGGATGAATCAGACACTGTTCCTGTCCTACTGGGAGGGGTTGAGAGCTTAGTGGGGGAGACAGATATTGAAGGAGGTAATTTCAGTTGAAAGTGATAAGGGCACTGATAAGTTATGACTCAGGTGCTGTGGGAGCACCTAGCCAACCTGGAGTAGCAGCAGGAGAAACTTTTGGACCAAGACATTTGAACTGAGTCTTGAAGGATGAATTGATGTTAATTATTTAAAACAGAGGAAATGGGCTTTCCAGGCAGAGTGGCCAGCAGAAGCAAAGACATAGAGCTGTGAAACTGTGCTGTCAGTCACAGGGGTTCTAGGGAGCTACATATTACTCAGCTGGACACAATGAAGATTGAGTGATGGGAGGGTTGCTGCTGCTGCTGCTGCTGCTGCTGCTAAGTCGCTTCAGTCGTGTCCTACTCTGTGCGACCCCATAGACAGCAGCCCCCCAGGCTCCGCCATCCCTGGGATTCTCCAGGCAAGAGTTCTGGAGTGGGTTGCCGTTTACTTCTCCAGTGCATGAAAGTGAAAAGTGAAAGTGAAGTCGCTCAGTCGTGTCCTACTCTTCATGACCCCATGGACTGCAGCCCACCAGGCTCCTCTGCCCATGGGATTTTCCAGGCAAGAGTACTGGAGTGGGGTGCCATTGCCTTCTCTGATGGGAGGGTTAGGAGTGTGGTAAAGGGGAGACTAGAGAGATAAGCGGGGGCAGAGTTATGAAACACCTTGGATGTCATGGCTGAGAACTTGCACTTTATTCTGCAGGGGAGTTTAGTGGTAAAGAGCATCTGTATCTGCAAGTGCCTCATGTGCTTCCCGGCCATACCCCTTACCAGCTTTGTGCTCTTATGCAAGTTACTTAGCCTCTCTGTGCATCTGGGTCTTTTCTCCAAAATGGGGATGTCACCAATATTACGTGGTGATTGAATTAATACATGTCAAGCATTTATTAATAAACAGTGCCTGTCACATAGAAAACGTGCAAATGTTAGCTACTGAAATTATTAGTCACAGGTAGTAGAGAACTGTTGGGAGTTTTGAATGTCAGTGACAGGATCAGATGTGTACATTAGGAAGATGACAGTTGTTTGTGGCCAGTGAGAAGAATTGGGGGCAAATCCTGGACTAGGGAGAACAGGTGGAAGATTATTGCAGCATGGCAGAGGAGGTGAGTTCTGAACAAGGACAGCCACTGTGGAGAAGACAGGACTGAGAACTTAGGTAAGCCTCCAGGGCTACTTGTTGCTAAGTAAGCTAAGAAGTGAGACAACTTCCTCAAGATGCATCCTGCTGTTTTTCAAAACAAAAAGTTGTCACATTTATACTATATGCCCTTTGAAGGAGATTGGGAAATATATAAAATATTAAAAAAAAAAAAAACCTACAGAACTTGCTCATAATATACCTCCCAGAAATAGCTATTTTTGACATGTTATGGAATGTCTTTCTTCTCTTTGAGTATGCATTTATTTCCCTCATCACCACTCCTCAGTCCAGAGACAGAAGAAACATCAAACTTATTCCAAACAGCCAGGTCTACCTTCTGCTCTTTTAACATATGATATGGGCATTTTTTTCCACATCACTAAATATTTTTTGAAAACACTGTTTTAAATGACTGCTTCTCTTAATATTTTTGTCATTTTGTGTTTTTGTCATTATATATTTAGCCAAACCTTTATTGTTGGACCCTTAGGTTGACCCAGTTTTCCCTCTTCTGAACAATACAGCTCTGAACATCCTTCTCATCTTTTCACAGTCCCGGTTCCCAGTCTTCCTCTTCTCAGTCAGGCCTTTAGTAGTCCAAAGTCCCGCTCTGCCCTCTTCTGGCTGTCCCCACCCACTGGCCCAGTTCTGAATAGAGGGTGAAGAAGTAGCTGTTGGGCGGAGAGGGCAGGGGTTGGGGAGAAGTGGGCAGATTGTAGGAGTCCGATGAGAACAGGGAGAGAGGAGAGATCCCAAGGTCCACCACAGGGGCTACCAGGTCTGTATAAAATTTTAAGGATGGGAGGACTTACTCATGTTGAAAGTAGAAGGAAGGAAACCCCATGGAGAGAGAACCAAAATGTTAGAGACAGAAGATCCAAGATTAGATGGAAATATTAGCTTTGGGGAGAAGAAAGAAGAAGAGGAATCTTTTCTTCAGAGCCTGAAAGGAAGAACAAGAATGCAGGTAGATCCAAATGACTGGCAAATGCTGAGGGCATTTTTGGTGGGTTAGACAGTAGTACACCCTGAAGGTTAGGGTGAGTGGGGAGTTCCTGTTGACTGGTTTCCTTTCTCTGTGAAAATGGTGGGTGGGAGTTATCTGCCTAGTGTAAAGAGAAAGAAGGAACACTTATTGGGGGAATAAGATTCTAAGCTTAAGAAAGAGAAAAGATCCAGAGCAGCTTCTGTGTGCAGTGCTTGGAAATCAACAAGAATAAGAACACATGAGTCAAAATATTTTTCCTGGCCAGATAGGGCAGCTTGTAGACAATGTCCTGGAGGCCAAGATGGAGGAAACTGGAAGATGTTAGTGGCGCGCCCATGCAGGAGCTTGGGGCAGCCCAGTGTGGTGAATAAATAGGGAGACCAGAGGGGTACTGCCCAGTGTCCCCCTGCCCTTCATGTCTCGCCCTTTCCCTTGTGCTTCTCAGGTGCTGGTGCAGGGCTGCCTTTTGGACCCTTCCCAGCGGGAGGTGTTCTTGCAACAGGTGTACGCGCAGCTCTGTCTCTTTGAAGATAAGGTGGCCACCATGCTACAGCAGCAGTATGACCCCCAGAGCCAGGTATGTGGGAGAGAAAGCAGGTAGAGGCCGCCTAGAAGGAGATGCTGTTAAGGGACAGAGGGGACAGAGGAAGGACAAGCCCAAGTGTCCTAGAGGGAAAAGACAGCAGAAAAAAAGGGCTGAAAGCCAGGGGCAGAGGGCACCAATGAAAGAAGTGCTAGTGAGTGCACACAGCAGGTTCCCTGTTGGAAAAGGGCTTAGACTCCCCAAGACACATGTTGCTGGGAGAAAATGTGGAGGCTGTTTGCTTGTGTTTTTTTCAGTCCTGAATCTTCTCCCCCAGTGGATCTGAGAAGGTGATCATGGGTGACTTTGCTTTATACTATGCTGTATAATCTGGGATAAAGCTGCTTGGGTTCACCACAGTGCACTCTCTTGTTCTTTTAGATATCTGAGAAGTAGCCAGGCAGATGGTAGGTCTGTCTGTCTGAAGACTTAATCTGATTGATGTATTAATATATCTCATAATGGCAATGGGAGATTATGGAAAGGGGGCCTTACTGGCAAAAGGTGGGGAAGGCCTGCTCCAGGAGAGTGTGGTGCTTCACCTGGTGCTGGACGCCCTGCCCATCTGAGGATCGGCCTCCAAGCACACAGCAGGGGAAGGAGCATAGTTAGGACTTGGCCCCACAGTAGGGGAATTGGAATGCTCATCGGATTAGGCCTGTCTGGCCTGGGCAATGCTGGACTATCAATTCTGGCTTTGCTGTGGATGGGGCAGCAGTGCCATCTGTCCCATTCAATCTTTTCTGTAACTTGGGCCAGGCAGAGGACCAGTCCCCAGACTCAGGGGAGCCCTCAGGCCGGAAAGTGGGCGTTTCCATGGTGACAGCTGATCTTGGACTGGTCAGTATGATTCGTCAGGGCATCCTGGCGCTGCAGCTGCTGCCCTCCAACTCCAGTGCAGGTCAGTAGGAGGAATGTTGGCGAGACTGGGGAAAGTGGGGTACAGGAAGGGTGGGTGGTAACGTTCCAGAAGATTGGTGGGCCCCAGGGAAGCGTGTCTGTTTCCTTGTTTGTGAAAGGTAAGTGTTCAGTAGTATGTATCTCAAGTACCCCCAGCTCTGACAACCAGCAGGGACCCTGGTGGGAAGGCACAGAGCTCCAAGATCACCACTTGGAAGGAGGTTGGGACCCAGCCCTTGAGAGGTTGGAGCAGGAGGGAAGGGGAGAAAGAAAGGCATTGGAGGATTATAAAACACAGTGGTTGGTGGACACCGAGGTCCTGTCCCTCAGGTGCCTCCCTGTGACTCTGATCTGTAGGGCCCCCAGGTCTGAGTCTGATGCTTCCTGCTCCAGGTATCATTGTAATCACGGATGGAGTGACCAGTGTCCCTGATGTTGCTGTTTGTGAGACGCTGCTGAATCAGCTTCGCAGTGGCACTGTGGCCTGTTCTTTTGTGCAGGTAAGGACTTTCTGGGAAGGAGGAGAGGAAAGTATCAAACCTTACAAGGTGGAATGTGGCTGGTTACTTTCTTGTAGGCACTGGTTTCCCAGGTAAAGCCAATAACAGTTCTGGAGGGATGGTGGGGATGGGGAGGGAGCATCATGTCTAGAACAGGATAGTAAAGTGGTAGGAGAGGATTCTCATCTTTGTTCTTTCCTTAGGATGTGAGAGACAGCATGTTATAGTAAGAAGAATGCAGAATTTGCTGTCTGGCAGTCAATTCCAGTCCCACCTCCCTCATTAGATTAGTTATTCCTGTTTCGGTTGCAAGGGTCAGAAAACCCAGCTCAAACTAGCTTAAGCAGAGGAGGGAGGGAGTATATTCAGGGGCCTGCAGCCAGTTTGGATTGACAGGCTATAGGATAGAAGGCAGAGAGCAAAGCTGGAGGGTAGGTATAGGCCAGAGCGTAGAAAGGTGCTTCTGCTGTGTTAGGAGTTCCAGCATAATTGTGTGGGTGATGCTGATAGAGGGAAGGAAAGTCACTTACTGGGTTTATGTTTTATAAATGTCACTCATTGCTGGGGGCAGGACAAGAGTGGAGGCAGGGAGGCGATTAATTGCAGTGCTCAGGTGAGAGAATCAGGACCTACATTAGGGGAATTCAGGGTAAGAGAGAAAGGGGGTAGCATTAAGGAAATGAACGGGTGGCATCAACATGACTTATGATTAGCGAGATATGAGGGGTGAACAAGAAAGAGGGGCTAAGGGTGTCTCCAGGTTACTGACCTCACTGATGAGTGGGAGCCGGCAGAGTCAGCAGAGAGCAGCAGTTAGGGTGGGGTGAGGACAGGACGATGAATCCAGGCGTGTGCACATTGTTCCAGGTGCCTCTGTATCACCTTTGGGGTTAGGCATGCTTGGCCAGAATCCTGGCCCCACTTACTGGCTGTGTGATGTGGACACATCACTTCACTTCTTGGGTAGATTCATTTGTAAACGGAGATTGTAATAGCACCTTCCTCAGTGGGTGAAGTGATGCATTTGAAGGGTTTAGCATAGTGCAGAATTACATAGTAAATGACTGCTATTCGTAGCAGTTAGCAATCAGACATGCAGATCAGATACTCAGGAGTCCACACTAATTGAGAGGTAGTTAGGATTTGGGCAGCCTACACATGGCATTTGAGAATAGATGAGGGTCCCCAAAAAACTTGGGGGCTACTGGGGTTTAAAGATATTTCACAGAAAGGGGGCCCAGCAAAGAATGAAGAGGAAATAATCAGACAAAAACCAGAAGGCTCTGGTGTCAAGAATTTCAGGGTTTTGAGGGGAAAAGGAGTACTTCACAGCATGAGAGGCAGAGTTCATGTGTAGTGAGGAATGAAAAGTGCCCTTTGGGTTAGGCGATTAGGAGGTTATGGAAATTTTTTTTTTGAGGGTATTACAGTCAAGAGGCGGTGAGAGAAATGATTGCAGTGCATGGAAGAGTGGATAGAAGGGAAGGATGTAGAGACAAGTGTTGACAGGTGGAATCTGGTTGTTCAGATCAAGGGAGGAGCAAGCGTACTCGAGAGGGAGTACGGCAGCCTGAGGGGAGGACAGGGTGGAAAGAGAAGGGTGTTCTGATTTGTATTTTAAGCTAGAGACTTCATGTTTCCAAAAGGCCATGGTGGAGCAGAGTTTGAAAATAAAGGAAAGGAAGCTGGATGGAGTGAAGTCCCTTAAATTAACAGGAGGCTGTTGGCTCAAAAAACAAACTGAGGGATTCTTAGAGCAGGAAAGTGTCCTTCCTTATCTGAGATTAGGGTAGAAGTGAAGACCTGTACTGGGAGGGAGGGAGGCAGAGCTGGGAAGGAGTGACGCTGAAGACTGGCCTGAAGGACCAGCTAGATTGGGTGTCATATGTTTTGATGTGGCATCACCCTACACAACTATGCAGTTTTCTTCCATTTGGGATCCACTAAGATCTCATTTGGGATCTGGGTATAGAGCTTGTGATCCTAGTTGGGGTTTCCAGGTGGAAGCAGAAAAAAGGTAAGGAGGGCCTGGGAGTTGAGAATGTTGCATAAGAAGTTGCTTGAACATGGGATCTAGGCTGGGTTGAGAAAAGAGGGCCAGGAGAACGTGGATAGATTTGAAAAGAGCAAAGTTCAAGGCCTGGGAGTCTTAATGGGATCGGAGAGCAGCAGGAGGAGGAGGATGAAAGGAACTTAAAAATGGGACAGAGTTATGTGTAATCAGGGATGTGGCAATTGAGTTCACAAAGAGGAAGTAGTTCAAGATGAAGCCAGGGGCCAGTGTGTAGCTAGGGGGCAGGTGAGTGGAGTAAAGTTCTTGGAGATGAGGGTTAAGGAGCTGAGTGGCCAGGGAATTGAATAAACCATCTGTAGGTATCCCCACCTCTGATATCTAAAGCCCGATGATCTGAGGTGGAGCTGATGTAATAATAGAAATAACTTGCACAGTAAATGTAATACAGTTGAATCATCCTGAAACCATCCCCCTCAACCCTGGTTCATGGGATAATTGTCTTCCACAAAATGGTCACTGATGCCAAAAATGTTGGGGACTGCTGAATTCTAGAGTATACCTCCAAGGGACCAACTAGTAAACATTTTAAGCTTTGTGGGCCATATGGTTGTCCCAGCTACTCAGCTGTGCTCTTGTAGCCTGAAAGCAGGCATGGACAGTAGGAAGATGAATGGGCATGCTGGGTTCCAATAAAAGTTTATTTACAAAAATAGATGCTAGGCTAGATTTGACCGCAGGTTGTATATGGTTTGCCAATCTCTGATCTATAGGTTTAGTGCTCAAACTACGGTCCACAGACCAGCAGCCTTGGCCTTGCCAGGGAGCTTGTTAGAAATGCAAAATCTTAGGCCCCCTCACCCCAGACCTCAGGTGTTTTGTGTGCACCCTAAAGTTTGAGAAGTGCCTTGTCAGGCACTGCAGTCTTGAGGTGATGATAGGAATTTGGTGAACCATTGGCCAAAATCTTAGTGAATGGGGTCAGGCTGGTATTTGATGTAGGGCGAGAGGGGTGTGGCCAGCTGGCATTGGCTTCAGACAGAAGGGCTCAGAGAAGGAAAGCTGCAGCTATGCGGGCCAGGGACGGGAGCTGCCGCCCAGCCCAGTCTCTTCTTGTACTTTTTTCTCCGTTGCCTCTCTTGGAGCTAGGTCTCTACTTGCTCACTTTCTTCAGGTGGGAGGAGTTTACTCTTATGACTGCAGTTTTGGCCACGTACCCAACGTGGAATTGATGAAGTTTATCGCCATGGCAACATTCGGCTCCTACCTGTCCACTTGTCCTGATCCCGAACCAGGCAACATGGGTCTGACTGTCTACCACCGGGCATTTCTCCTCTACTCCTTCCTGCGCAGCGGGGAAGCCCTGAACCCTGAATATTACTGCGGTGAGGGGCAGACTGGGGCAGGTGTGGGAACTGGGGGACCCTAGTGTGGACCCAGAGATGATACAGGGATCTGTCTAGGGCTGGGGTCCCCGGGCAGTGTAACTGGGCTGATGACTTTGCCCTGTTCTCTCCCGTGACTCAGTGTGGAACTTCTCCCATCCCTCCGTCAGCTGACACATAACACTGTTCCCTGCCCCGTCCTCACCCGTTCCCTAGGCTCTCAGCACCGCCTGTTTAATGAGCATCTGGTCTCCGCAAGCAGCAACCCTGCCTTGGCCCTGCGTCGGAAAAAGCACACTGAGAAGGAGGTGCCAGCTGACTTGGTCAGCACCGTGTCTGTGCGGCTTCGAGAGGGCTACAGTGTCCGAGAGGTCACACTGGCCAAAGGTGAGGGGTAGGCCCTGCTGTGTCCCACACACCTAAACAGAGCAGGAGGCCGCATGCTCCACGCGTGGCAGGCTCTGCCTGTCAGTGAGCTGGCCTTACTGCTCTTAGCATTTAGCTAAGTGGCCCTGCGCTCTGTGGAACCAGGCTTGGAACCAGGCTTGGAAACTTTGGCCAGGCTAGAGTTCCATGCTGTAGGTGGAGGTTGCGGACAGGACTCAGTCCCAGGCCCTCCTCCCCTCCTGCTTCCCCTGAAGGCGGGTCCCAGCTGGAGGTGAAGCTGGTGCTGCTGTGGAAACACAACATGCGCATTGAGTACGTGGCTACTGCACCCTGGCCCCTGGAGCCTGAGGGCCCTCGAGGCACCCGGGTGGAAGTGACAATGGAAGGCGGTTATGACATCCTGCATGATGTGTCCTGTGCGCTGAGACAGCCCATTCGCTCACTGTATCGGACCCACGTTATCCGGCGGTTCTGGAACACGCTGCAGAGGTAAGCAAGGTCACCGCTCAGTGACAGAGGTCCCACTTGTGTGGAGGGACGGATGTGAAAGCGAGGGTTGGAGAGAATCACCCTGAGCACTAGGGGCTTGTGTCCAGACTCCCATATGCCCCTGGGGCTCTCCTCCCCTGACTCCCCAGAGGCCAGGGAGGCTCAGGGTGGCCCTTGCTCTGCAGCATTAACCAGACGGACCAGATGCTTGCCCACCTGCAGTCCTTCTCCTCCGTCCCAGAACACTTCACGCTGCCCGACAGCACCAAGAGCGGAGTGCCTCTCTTCTACATCCCACCCGGCTCCACCACCCCGGTGAGGGGGCCCTGACGCGCATTCTCCCTGTCCTGTGCTCACCCTCTGGAGCCCAGAACCACATTCATTTTCCTCACCTCTCAAATCTGAGAACCCTGAACTTTAGCCTTCAGAGCCCCCTCCTCCCCACCCCCACCCTCCCAGGGGAGGAAAGAGTCTCTAAAGAAAGGTGGCCCTCAACAGATCATTGGAGTCAAAGGTCAATGCAGAATGTCTCGGTAGTGGTCTCCCAGCCAGCTGCAAGCCCTCTCGCCATCTCCACAGGGCATCCTCCAGTCTCCCCCACATTTTCAGCCAACCACTGACTGCTGTGCTTCTCAAGGACTGTGTTTTCATTGGTCCTTTGGTTTCTCCACACTTGGCCCCAGCTGTCAGCCTAGCACTGAGGGGCTGGGGGCTTATTCCACTGAATAATAGCCTCATTCCTGAGATCCTGCCATCACTCAGAGGCTTTTCTCCAAAGTCAGTGATGGAAGTTCCATCCTGTGTCTGGATTCAGTTTTAAGAGGCCACACGGCCTGTCCCTGGGCTCATTTGTCTTAATCTAGCCAGTGGTCCCCCAACCTTTTTGGCACCAGGGACTGGCTTTGTGGAAGACAATTTATCCATAGACCAGGATTTGAGGGAGTTGTTTTGGAATGATTAAAGTGCATTACATTTATTGTGCATTTTATTTCTTACTATTATTTCAGCATTTCCAGCTCAGACCATTAGGCATGAGATTCTAGAGGTTGGGGACCCCTGACGTAGCCTTGGTATTGGAGGCAGTTTCTGCCTCTGTCCCAGGCTGGCCCGAAGGTTTCTTTAGCCTTACACCACTGCTGCCTCTGACCCCGCCCCCCTCACCCCAGGCTCCAGTGCTGTGCAGAGGTTATTCACAAGCTCTTCCTGCCCCCAGGTGCTCTCGCTTCAGCAGAGTGGCTCCGACTCCTCCCATGCCCAGTTTGCTGCCTATTGGAAGCCGGTGCTGTCCATGGATGCTAACTCGTGGCAGCGCTGGCTACACATGCACCGCCTGGTGCTCATCCTGGAGCATGACACGTGGGTGTCCCTTGTCGGGCCACAGCCCGGGTGGGGGAGCGGGGGACGGGAGGGACACGGAGTGATGGGGAGGGGAGGCAGTGGATGAGCCCGTACCAACCTTGGCCAAGGAAAGCTCCAACCCATCTTAGCCCTCCTGCTCTTGAGCCTCCAGACCCTCAGACAGGGCCTGGAAGAGAGAACCTGTCCCTCTCCCCCACGCCTGGGGCCGGGAGGGCTGAGCTCACCGCACACCCTCTTCCCAGGCCAATCCCCAAGCACTTGCACACCCCCGGCAGCAACGGCCGCTACAGCACCGTCCAGTGCAGGATCTCGCACTCCTCGCTGACCTCCCTGCTCCGTGACTGGAGCAGCTTCGTGCTAGTTGAGGGCTATTCCTACGTGAAGCTGCTCTCCAGGTGGGCACAGTGATGTCCCCTCCTCCCCCTCATCCTGTGTCTCTTCCTCTCACCCCTGACCCTCTCCGTCCTTCCTCCTAAACCCTTCTTCTCCCAGCCAAGGGCTGCTCACGGTCCCTCCGTTTCTCCCCAGTGCCCCAGACCAGCCCCCCTCCTCCTTCTACATGGTCCGCATCATCTCCAAGGCCCCGTGTATGGTGCTCCGCCTGGGTTTCCCCATCGGCACGCCAGCACAGGCTCGGCACAAGGTGAGCAGGGCCCCAGCTCATTCCATGACGACCCACGACCCCTGGAGTGTTGACTGGCTCCTTCTCCCCAGCACTCCCGGGGCCAGTTGAAGGAGCCCCTCAGACCAATAAGCCGTGGGACACCAGGCTCTCCCACCTCGTCTGGGGACCCCTTCTGCATGTCCATAGGAGATGAGAGCAGGAGGGTGTGATCACAGTTTCCCCGCAGATTGTGTCGGACTTGCGGGAAGAAATCCTGCGCCTGCGTTTCCCCCACCGGGTTCAAAGCAAGGAGCCGACTCCCAAGGTGAAACGAAAAGGGCTGGGGGGCACCGGTGGGGGCAGCTCTCCCTCCAAGTCCCCGCCAACGCTGGGGCCACAGCAGGCCCTGTCTGACCGGCCCTGCCTTGTGGTCCTGCATAAGCCACTGGACAAGCTCCTCATCAGGTTGGTAGAGGGGGTGAGAGTGGGCCAGGAACACGTGGGGGCCTCAGCTGAGCTGGGCATGCGTAGAGGTCAGCTGAGAATTGCCCTCATTGCCCAGGTATGAGAAGCTGCCCCTGGACTACCGGGCACCCTTCTTGCTGACCCTGGAGCCACCGGGGCCGCTGCCCTTGGTGTCGGGCCGCTCAGCCTCTTCTAGCCTGGCATCACTGTCCCGCTACCTGTACCACCAGCGCTGGCTCTGGAGCGTCCCGTCAGGACTGGCCCCTGCGCTGCCGCTCAGCGCCATTGCCCAGCTCCTCTCCATCCTCACTGAGTACGTCACTCAGCCTACCGGGCCACTGGGGGCAGGGAGGGAACAAGCGTCAATGCTGGGCTTGGATGCTGGTAGAATGCCTAAGCCAGACATGGCCCCTCCCTCTGCCCTCATCTCTGAGGCCCCCGCTCTGCAGAGGAGCCAGCACAGAGCATGCGTGCTGCTCCCCTACCCACCACCTTTCCCCACAACTTGGTGATTTTGGCCTCTGGTTCTCATTGGACCTGCCGCCCCTGAGGGTCCAGTGGTTTGAGCAGGGCCACCAGCAGACAAGTCTGCTTGGATGGCTGCTGGAAAGTGGGTGTCTAAGTGGCATCGGAGGCCAGGGGTTGTACGCTGAGTCTCTCCCCATCTCATCCCATCCCACCGCTGCTTCTGCGGGGCCTCAGAGTCCGGCTTTCGGAAGGGTTCCACTTCGCCTGCAGTGGGGAAGGCATCATCACCATGGTCCTGGAGCTCCCGATTCAGGTACGTGCCATCCCTCACGACCCCTCCCACCAAGGTCCATCATCATCCCAGGGCACTCGCCTGTGAGCGGGGTTGGGGCTGATGGAAATGCTGCCTCACTGGGACCCTGTGGCCTGAGGTCGATCCCAGGACAGTGTGGCAAGGGGCCTGAAGTTCTGAGGGCCAGGGCTGGGGTGGGCCCAAACTCTCTCCTCCTGTCCCAGAACGAGCCCCCGGGGCAAGCTGCGGCCGAGGAGAGGCACACGTGCGTGGTCCAGTACATCCTCTTCCCACCTCATTCAACCTCCACTAAGGACAGGTGAGGCCCGACCCCCGAGCCACCTTGCTCCAGTTCCCCTTCCCCCTTCTGGCCCAGAAGGTCTATCTCCCAACCTTGAAAATCAGGGCAGGGGATGCTGTCTTTAGACACTTTATCAGGCAGATACAGTGACAGAGGGCCATGTGTGAATTGTGGCTGTCCTGTGAGCCATGGCCTTCCTGCCCTCCGTGGACCAACTCCCGACCAGGCGGCGGTGGGTTGGATTCTCCTTTCTTCCGGGCTTAGAGTCCTTCCTCCTTTAGCTTCTCAACAGATGATGACAACGATGTGGAGGTGGAGGCCCTGGAGGGGGACTCAGAGCTCAACCTGGTCACCGAGGTGTGGGTGGAGCCCCAGTATGGACGGGTGGGACCCGGCCCTGAGAGCTGGAGGCACCTCCAGGACCTGACGTACTGTGAGATCCCTCGAGCTGTGAGTGGCCTCGGAGGACCCCACCGGTCCCTAGTCCCCTGGGAGTAGCACAGCCTGATGGCTTCCTGGTCCCTCTCAGTCTCTGTGTTCTGAATGTCTGTGTTGGTGGGGGCTTCCTTGAGAGCTGGAGGCTGGGGTTAACCCCTTCCCTCTGCTACTCCTCCCCTAGCTCCACCCTCGGGATGCTGCCTGCATAGGCTCCATGCTGAGCTTTGAATACCTGATACAACTCTGCCAGAGCAAGGAGTGGGGTCCCCTGCCCCCGGAGCCAAGGGTCTCTGCCGGTCAGTGGGGAGGGGCCCCTGGGCAGGAGCAGAGGAGGAGTGGGGAGAAGTCAGCTGCAGACGGGGACTCCAGGCCTCCCCGCGCTATTGTCTCCCCCCTACCCACCACCCTCCCAGGGATGGACCAGGGAAGAGACGCCTGTGTCCACGAGATCCCTTTCCGTTTTGACCTCATGGGACTGCTGCCTCAGTGCCAGCAGCTCCAGATGTTCTTCCTCCTGCTTTCCAGAGGTGGGTGAATCTTGTGCTTGGGGGCCAGCCAGCCAAAGGGTATTAGAGCACAGAGAGCAGATGAGTCTGCGAAGGAGCAGGGCAGGATGGGGGCGGGGGCTGCAGGAGGGCCGGACTGGCCGGGGCGGAGCCAGGGGATACCAGGCAGCAGGAGGTCCTGGGTGCTTAGCAGAGTGTGTGTTGGGCAGAGCCAGAGGGCATCCCTCCTGCCGAGGGACCCTGTCCCGCCAATGACATGGTGCTGTGCCTGCTGCATGGCTGCCTGGGCCAGGAGCTGAGTGACCGGGAGCTCCCGCTGCCTGCCGCCGACCAGGCCACCTTCCTGCGCGAGGTGCTTCGGCGGACCTGCCACAGTCCAGGTGAGCCCCAGCCTCCTTGCAGGTACCAGACTACAGAGCGATTCCCGTCTGGGTTCTGGCCTCCCCTTTCCTGCACCTCAGAGCCCTGCTCTTTCCCAGCCACCTCTACCTTCGTTGTAGGTCCAGAGGGGCCAGCAGAGGGGGACCCTGGGATCCTAAAGGATCAAGCAGGCAGCAGCGCCCAGGCCATCGGAGACGCCGGTCTTGCCACCCCGGTCAGCACTGGTGCATCCCCTCGGGCCTTTCGTCATGGTGACCTCCTGCCATCCCCACATGTTCTTCCCCCCGCTTTCCAAGTCTGGGGATGCTCAGTGCTGCCCGCCACTGACAGGGCACCATCATCCCTCTTGGTCGCCAGTCTTGCAAGCTGTCTCTGAACATGGAGTCAGGCAGGGGAAGGGAGTGGGCATTGGGTGGTCCCTTAAGACGGCTCTGATTTGTTTTTCTTGTACAGAGTCCAGGCCCTCCTGAAACTCTCGGGCCTGTCAGCTCTGCCCAGCCCCCTCAGTGGCGCTGCTATGCAAGGCTTGTGACCCCCCAGCATGTTTTCCTGACTTTCCTCCCCGCAACCTTCTCAGGTACTGACTACTGACCCCTCTTATCCCCTCAGCTCCCTCACTGGCCTGCCAGGCAGCTCTGAGTTATGTCTCGCTTTTCCTCTGCAGATGTCCTACATCTGGCTTCATATGGCCTGGAGGGACCCTCTCAAGAGGAGACGAGAACTAAGCTTGGGGATTGGAATGGGGCCCCCAGCCTGAAAGATCTGGCAGTAACTGGGGACACGGTGACAAAGTCCCAGGTCCCCATCCTCAGTGTCACCCCAGCCAGTGGTAAGTCTGCTGACTCTTAAGTCAGTTAAGCAGCAGCAGGAATGGGAACAGACAGACGGCTGGATGCCATGGACCACCTCTTGCCCACAGACAGTGCCCAGAATCCAGGAGAGCTGAGCCCACCCTTCCGTCAGGACCTACCAGCTTACCCTGGGCGCCAGGCTTCACAGACAGAGGGTGCAGATGGGCCCCGGACTCGGTGTCCTGTCTACATCTATAGCTGTTCTCTGGAAGCATTGAGGGAGCAGATGGTTGGTGTGCAGCCCCCTCAGGCACCCCGAGATCTCGTCTTCCGGTGAGTGCCCTCTGTGTTGACCTAGGTCCTTTCCCGGCCCCCAGCCATGGCTCAAGGGGACAGATACACAAGTTGATGATGAGTGGCAGGAGCTCAGCTTTTTAGCCACATCCTGCCTGCTCAGTGCTGGACTTCCTTCAGCACATCAGTTGAAGTCTCTGGGCCATCACTGCATTTGGTAGGGACCTAGGGACAATCCACTGGAAGGTGGGGGATGGTTGAGTGTGGGCTGTCACTGAGGGGAGCTGGCCAAGCCCTCTCTTTCCTTCCATTCCTAGGACTCAGTTCCTTGACCAGCCTTCCCTCTCCTCAGCCTGGATGGAGCCCAGGCACAAAGAGGCAGCCAACCACTGTGCCTTGCTACAGGAGCATGCACAGCGATGCTACGTCCGCGGTGAGTGTGACACCATGGCAAGAGGAGCCCACTTTGCAGATTATAGACATGGGGACTGGAGAGGTCCTCACAGAGCTTGACCTCGTGGCCCCTTCCGCTTCCCCCAGGGCTGTTCCGGAGCTTGCAGCAAGCACAGAGCGTGACCTCGCAGGACCTGCTAATAGCAGTGGATGCCTGTGAGGAGCTACTGCAGGAAATAGACATCACTCCTTTTCTGCTCGCACTGTGTGGCCACACTCGGGGTTTGCCTCATGCACCCCCAAGCCCTGGTCCTCTCAGCCCAGGGCTGTTCAGCAGCAGCATGGAGGAGGGCCCCGAGCCTCGGGAACGAGCTGTCCTGGCTTCTGAGTCCAGGTTGGGATGGTTCCTGAATGATGTATAAGGGGGCACGCAGATGAAGCCCCTATAGCCCGGGGCCTCTTGCCCTGGGGAGGCAACCAGCCGTACTTGGTCACTGGTTTCCCACCTTCTGCCCAGGCTTCTGTCTCCCATTCAACATGGGCAGCAGTCTCCCCGTCTTACTCTCCTGGTCCTCCCAGCTTTCCTGTTTTGGTGTGGAGCGTTGAGTTAGGTTAGTGGTGAGGAGTTGCCAGTGGCCATCAGTGAAAGTAGAACCTTGTTCCGAGGACATCCAGATAGTAGTGATAAATCCCCTAAACTGCTGAGTCTCTCAGAGACAGAAACTTGAGTGAGAGAGGCAGGCAGCCAGACAGCTGTGTGTCTGGTATCTGCAGGAGTCAGCACTGGGGAAGTGGAAGGAGCGGAGGGGCAAGTACACTGGTGATGCCCAGTTTCCTTTCTGGAGGTCTAGATCCCCCACCTTTCATGCCCCCCAGATGAGTGCACTTTCTTCCCACCAAACCTTGCTTCTCCACCTGGGTCTCTCTTCCATGATGAATGATATCTCCCTCCACCCACTGGTCCAAGTCAGAAAACCAGGAATCAGCCTTACTCATTCCTCTGTTGCACAGAAATGTCCAGCCACTAAGAAATATAGAGGTTAGAGTGGAGATGGGTGGGTGGGTTCTTCTAGCCTCTTCCTGCCGATGTCCTGTGCTCAGTACCCTTCCAAAAGGCAGAGGTAGACCATTGTGTGCTGCTCCCACTTGGGAAGCAGGCTTCTCTAGGACATGATGGTTCCTAACACTTAGCACTCCCAACCCCACTCAGCATAGAGACCGAGGACCTCAGCGAGCCTGAGTTTCAGAGCACCCGTGTCCCTGGCCATCCAGACCCAGGCCTGGAGATCTCTCTAACAGATATCTGTCAGCTCAGAGGAGAGGCCCATGATGCCCTTCACAGCCTCATACAGGTGAGGATAGAGAGACAGAGTCCTGGCTGGGCAGTGGTTCCTCATGGTTGGGGGTGTGTAGGTGTCTGTTCTAGGGTAGGGGCAGTGTTCATCCAAATAGCAGCTGACATCGTAGCCTTCTAACCCCAAACAGGAGAAGTTTCTGGAGATCAGCAGTCTCCATTTCCGCACGGTGCCCTCCAATCCCCACTACTTCTTCTATTGCCCTCCATCCAGCAGGCGTGAGGTGAGCGGCCATCTCCCTTACCTCCCTCCCTCCCCATAGCCTGTAGCCTCTGAAACCCTGCTTGGCCCACTCAGATCCTCCTGATCCCTGATCCTTGGTCCCCTGAGGCCCCACCTCAGGTCAAGCTGCCTCTTTCTCTTGCCCAGGATGAGGGCCCCCGGGACATGGTCGACAGAAAAGTCAGTGACTTGGAGTTTTCAGAGGCTGAGCTCATGGGAGAGGAAGGTACATAGGCCAGTGAGTAGGGGGTAAAGGCTGCTTCCAGCCAAGATCCGGGGCCTCCGCTGCCAGCCTCTCCTGTTGATCACATGACTTGTGTCTCCAGGAGACGCATCTGCCTGCTGCGTGGTCACCGAGAGTGACCCGGAGCTGGAGGTGGAGTACCGCGAGAGCCGTGAACCAGAGCTGGGGCCTGCTGGGCTGGACTCTGCCTCACTGTCAGATGCAGACACCGTGAACCCCGATGAGGACTCCTTCAGTATCCTGGGGGGCGACTCCCCCACGGGGCCCGAGAGCCTGGCACATGACCTGCCGCCACTCTTCCTGCACCTCACGTGCTCCGTGCGGCTGCGTGGCCAGCACAGCTCAGTGCCTGTGTGCAGCCTGCCCACCTGCCTAGGTGAGTCTACAGGTCCCCAGGGGAGGGCCATAGGACCTGGTCCAGCCTGCATGCCTGTCTGGGGGTGGGGGAGAGCCTCTGGGTGTAACTCTTTATCCCTGGACACTTGAAATCTGTGCTTGCCCCAGAGCTCCAGTGACCCCTAACCTCCCCCCTCTCCCAGGCCAGGTGCTTTCTAGCCTGGAGGGCCCCCCCATCGGAGGCCGAGTTCCTCTGCGGGACCTCAGTGTCACCCTGGACGTCTTTGTGCTGACCTTGCCCCTGGAAGTGGAGCTCCCCCCGACCTCAGATCCTCAGCACCACCGGTGTGGCAGCAAGTTTGGCGGGGGATCTGGGGCCTCGTTAGAGTAGGGGAACCGTTAAAGAATTTAGAGACGCCTGGGGACCAAGGGTACCTTAAGGATTCCAAGAAAGGATTGCTGAGGAGGCCTTGGGAGGATGATAGGTGCTGACCTTTGACCTTTGCTCCTGTCCTGCTCAGCTCAACATCTGAAAGCAGTGCGTCCTTCCCACGGTCCCCAGGGCAGCCATCCGATGATGGGCTGGGGCCTCCACTGCCGCCTCCAGGAGAAGACAGGTACTTCCTCACCTCCCTCTTAGGCTTCCATGCTCCCTATTGGTTTTGTCCTCTGGAAAGCAGTATGCAAACCTTTCTTCCAATTAGGCACCCAGGACTGTCTAATTTGGCCACACCCCACAGACTGGCTGTTGAAACCACCATGAGTGAGGTGAGGGCCTTCCCTCCCCCAGCCTAAGTAATCTCCCCTCAGCACTATAACTGACACCCTTTCCATGAGATGGTGACATAAGACACCCCCTTTATTCTGGGGTTCAGTGAGGCCTTTCCCAGTCTGTGAGGCAGAGTCTCTCCTGGTGTCTTCTGACTGAGGAGTGTGATGATGCCCCAGTAGGCGTGGGGAGTGTCCCTCACCACTCCCTGCATCGCTCTCCGACCGTAGATCCGCTGGCTGCTGGAGGATGAGATGGTGGGGGCGCTGCGAAGAGGGGGCATCCCCCAGAGCCCAGCCCTGCACCGCGCAGCCGCGCACATCCACAGCTCCCCCGGACGCTCCACCTGCCTGCGCCAGACGCTGCCGCTGAGTTTTGTGTTTGGGCCAGAGCGTTCTCTCACACAGTTTAAGGAGGTATGCTGCTCTCGAGGCACTCCCTGGTCACCCTGGGGACTGTCCTTCCCCAGGCTCCACGGACAGAACCGGAAGGCCCTCTCTTAGCTGGAGCCCACCTCCTCACCCCGTGGTCTGCCCCTGACCCCATGCCTGGCGGCCCAGCTCACCCTTGCCCCTGGGCCTGGTAAGCCTTGGGCAAGCCCCTGAGCCTTCTCATAACTCCCAACGGGGATGCTAGTGTGTGCTTCACCGGCTACTTGTGAGGGGTCTGATGAGGAGGTGTGAGGCCCACCAGTAAGGAGGGCTGCTCCCGCCTAACCTTTGCCCTTGGCTCCTGCTCCCTAGGAGTTCCGCCGCCTCCACCTCCCTGGTTATGTTCTTCTTGAGGACCCTGACAGTGGCTTCTTCTTTGTGGCAGTGGGCCAACAGCCAGGTGGGTCCCACGGGGAGCCCCCTTCCCCAGCCTGGGCTTGGCACAGCCAGGAGGACAAGGCTGAAGGCCTCGAAGGGGAGGTGAGTCTTGCCTGGACGGACCTGTGAAAGGAGCGGGTGGTGGTGGAAGTGTGGGGCTGTGCTCCAGCTTGACCTCCTGACCCTCAGGCCCTGACAACCAGCCCCCAAGCCCCTGGCTCCCCAGAGGATCCTCAGAGCCCCCTGCTCATCAGTCTGCCCAACCTGCCCCAGGGAGGTAAGAGATGACTTGCATCTCCCTGGCCCTGCACCCATGTTCAGAAAACATCCTCAGCAGGATCCAGAGAGGCTCCAGGCTTTCCCTTCTCTTCCCAGGGAGCCAGCCTGGGCCCAGCCGGGGACTCAGTCTCATGTCCAGTCAGGGCAGTGTGGACTCGGACCACCTAGGTAAGTTGGGGCGGAGCAGGGAAGACCAAGCTGATGGGAAGTGGACTCAGGGCCACGTAGTGAAAGGTCTGGGCAAGTCCATCAGTAGGGACTAACCCAGAGGGGCCCACCAAGCTGATGCACTTGGGGCTCACATGAGCCTCAGGGTAAGGTTGAACTTGAGCATGTTTGACACAGGTTATGATGGTGGCAGCAGTGGCTCAGACAGTGAGGGTCCCAGTGAGACCCCAGGTGAGAAGCCCCCCTTCATGTTGCGGACCCCTCCCGGGCCGGCACCTCCACAGCCTTCCCTCATAGGCCTCCCTGGACCCTGCCTGCCTGACTTCTGGCTCATCATCCGGGTGCTGCAGGACCGTGTGGAAGTGTATGCACATGCGAGGTAAGGAGAAGCTGGGCCCTGCACCCTGACTCCGATGTTAGCGTTTCCCAGGTCCCACAACTCCCTTCTTCAGTGTTGTTAGAAGGCTAGACTTGGGACTGAGGTTTTGGGTAGGGATCTGACTTGTGCTCTGAGGCTGGGGACTCCTGACCACTTCCCACATGTTGTAACAAAGCATGTCACTCCACTCTTATAATGGAGTTGAAAAGCTGATGAGGATTTTGGCTCCTAGCCAAACATTAAGAGAATCTGTAGTACACAGCAGCCTAGGAGCTATAGGTATATAAAAATAAGGGATAATAGGTAATATTTAACAAGTACTTGCTCTGTGGCAGGCACTATGCTATGTTTGTTATATGGATCACTCATTTGATCTATAACATACCTGTGAAGTATTATTATCCTTGTGGTCCGAATGAAGAAACTCTAGCACACATAGGTTATATTACACTTGCTTAAGGTCCCAGTTAGTAAGCAGCAGCACCATACTTAGGCATCTCGTTCAGTGCTGCTCTAATCATGGGGGTGGGCATGTTAAGAGAAGGGAGGACCACCATTCTGACAAAGAAGATCGGAGGATAAAGAAGAGGTGAACTGCATGACGGAAGCCTCAGGTGGTACCTACATGGAGGCTGGTGAGGCAAGCCTGCAGCCTAGGCTTCCAGAATTGCTGTTGAGAATTCCATCTTTCCTAGTTCCCTTCATGTTTACTTCCCCTTGTCCAGTCCTCCTTCCTTTCCATGGTTCCTGTTGGTCCCTCCTCCCATGACACCTTCCCCTCTCTCCCTCCCCACTGCAATTCTGTGTTTGATGCATCCTTCCCAGGAGCCTAATTCGGGAGGATGGGGGCCCAGGCACCGAGTGTCGCCACCTGCAGCAGCTCCTGGTGAGGCGAGTTGGGGAGATCTGCAGGGAGGTCAACCAGGTAAGGGGCAGCCAGGGGCAGGCCTCTCCAGGCATGGGATGCAGCCAAGATGACGAAGGAGTTTCCAGGAACTTGACTTTTAGAGGCTGTTGATCCAACTTGGACATTTTCTTTACTGGGATGCTATTACTCCCCGGTGTCCTTAAAACCTGAGGAGCTCTCCCAACCCACCCCCAGAGTGGGTTACTCTCTCATTCCCTTCCAGTGACTGTGAGATGCTCCCTCTCATTGCACTCAGCTAGCATTAGGGATGAGATAATGAATTAAGACAGAGAGAAGCTTATGTCAAGTGGGGAGAGATGGATATGAAACAACTAAAACACACAAATTATTTCCGCTGCAATTGTGAAGGCTTCTATAGAGGAAAAGCAGAGACTGTGAGAGCACTTAACAGGGATCTGACCATCTGCAGTGTCAGGGAAAGCTGGGAAGAAGAGATTTTTAAGCTGAGATCTGAAGGGCAGTAAATAGATTCTGGCAAAGAGGAGAGATGGATGTTCAGCACTCAGCGCTTGGAGCCCAGTGACTGTCAGACACCATCTCTGAGCTCCCAGTAATTACTGATGCTCTTTTTGACCTCCAACACCCCAGTGATAATGGGCATTCTCTCTAGCCTTTGATCACCCCTCTCCACCACCACCAGCAGTGTGTGTGGGAATATTTCAGTTCCCCAAGGGCTGGTTCCTTCTTCTCTCAGCGGCTGCTGCTTCAGGACCTGCATGACAGTCACGTGTGCAACTCTCTTCTGGTGGCTGAGAGCGAAGAAGATCTGTGGCGTAGCGAGACCCCTTTCCACTCCCGTCAGCGAGTACCACTGCCCAGCGATGGTGAGTCCCACTCAGGAGCCTTCCTTACCGAAGACTGCTGAAGCTGGGGCTGGACCAAATAACTCACCATTACTTGGTCCTCGGTGCCAGGCAACACAGTGAGAACAAGGAGAAGAAGACAGAAAACGATCATCGGGTTTGGCTGCCACGGGGTCATCAGTGACTTTAGTGAAAGTGCTTTCAATGGAGACAGGAGTAGGAAGCCAGAGGAAGCGGAAACATGAAAGGATATTAGGCTGGAGGAGCCGGGAGTCACTCCTCTTTCAAGTCACCTGGCAGTGAAGGGAGAAGCAAACAGATCCAGCAGAAACTAAAGGAAGGTGGGAGGCAAGGCAGGAATTTAAAATAAGGTAGAGACTTGAGCATGTTTCTGTTGCATGGGAAAGAGCCAGCAGAGGGGGAGCTGTTGAAGAGTACAGGAGAGAAGGGACACAGAACAGGCGCTGCTGTGACCTGTCTTCCTAAGGGCATGCTCTACCTGGCCCTGCCTTGTTTTCTGAAATGACCGTCTCTCCCCTGCAGGGTGATAGCCGAGGCCGAGGAAAGGGGCAGGGGATGGTGGACAAGTAGGCCAGCTCACAGGCGAGAACACTGGAGGGGTGGAGCCTGAGGGCCAGTAGGATTTGCCCTCTGATTGGCTGTCCCTCCAGACAGGCAGGCACAGAAACCTTTGGGGTTTCTGAGATGTCTGGTCAGTTAGGAAACACACGATCGTCTACTTGAAATGGTAATCAAAATCTCCACACTGCTCCCTTCTCGTATTCCTCATGACCTCTCACCCCAGCTCACAGAAAAAAGCCAGATCGTGCCATTCCTTTGCCATTCTCCCTCAGTTCTAAAAGTAACGTCAGATCACTCCTTATCTTTAACATGCTCGGCAAGTCTGTAGACAAACGTTCCTAACAGCTATGGGAGAGCGCGTCTCTCAGCACGTCCTGGGATGTGTTCCATATCAAAGCAGAATCCCTGTAACTGATGGACTTCCCAGGGTCTAGAAGACATCTTCTGCAAATTGAATATGAGCTGCGACCGCCAAGCACTCCTTCACAGTGGCTCCCAGCAGCCCAGGGTGTGAGACTAGTTGGAGCCCAGACCCAGCCCTTCCTCATTTTGGTCTTTCCATATGGTTTTGCTGAAACCCTTAGCAACCAGCATTCCATTCCAGACTCTACAGCCCCCTGGGTGTCCTGTACACTGCTCCTATCTTAGAGCAGCTTCTCTAGGAAACCAGATTGCCACCTTGACCTACTGGAAGGTTCCTCATCAACCTGGAAACCAGAAAGGGGTCGGTCAAGGCCATGGGCTGTAGCCACAGGCTCTTGCAAAGAGCCACCCAACCCTTCGAGTTTTCTGGGCTAGCTGTCCTCCAGAGCAAAGGATGTAGTGTCCCCTCACTCTGCTGTAGGGATATGTAAGCAGCCACACACATTCTGTCTTAATGGGGTATGTATTATTATTGTACTGCCCAATGAGTACATGAGTAGGATGTGTTCTGTATTGTATTCTGACAGGCTCAGAGTGTCCTGGCAGCGTCCTCAGGATTATGCTTTGCCTTTCCTGACGCCTTTTCTTAGCTCCTTCTCCATGCCTTCCTGAGATAGTTCTGAAAACCTTTGTGCTATGACCTGTCTTCCTAAGAGCTTATTTTAATACCCAAAGCAACCATTTTTTCCCCTCCGCAGAGTGATTGGCCAGAGGAGTTGGGGGTTGAGGACATGTAGGCCAGTTCACAGGTGAGAAGTCTGAGGGCAGAGGTCTGTGTCTCATTTCTGATCCACCGTCTCCCGTCCCCCAGATTATGCTGCCGATGAGAGCTGTGGGCCCCGAGGGTACCTGGCCGCCACAATGCAGTTTGTCCCTGGCCATTTCTCCTGTGACGTCGTCTGGGGAACCGTGATTCGAGTCCACTCACGCCTCAAAATGGGACCCAGCATGGGCGTCTCTCGGGGTATGTGATTGGCATGGGAGGGCAGGTGGAGTGTAGGGGGGTCAGGGGTTGGGGGGGAATCTGGAGAGGAGAGTTTCCTAAACCCAGGTTCCCCCTACAGCCATCCAGGCACTACGCTCTGTGCTTAATGCCTTCTCTGTTGTGAACCGGAAGAACATGTTTGTTTATCAGGAGCGAGCAACAAAAGCTGTGTACTATCTGCGGTATGTGGGTCCTGGGAAGCCGGGCCACAGCCTGGGGCAATGGAGGAGCTGTTGTCCAAAGCCCGCCCTTGCCACTCTTTCCCAGGCTCCTGGAGACGTCCTGCAGTGAGCGGCCGTGGGACAGTGACGCCCTGCCCCCATCCCTTGCTCTGTCCCGAAGCCAGGAGCCCATCGGTTCTGAGGAAGCCTCGGCATGTATCCCCCCCCCACTCCCTGATTCCCCCGTACTCCTGCAGACTTTGCTCCCTGGAGCCAGGCCCTGACCACAGTTGCCCTGCAGGGTCCCCGTTCTCCCCTGGACATGGCATCCAGCCGCAGTTCTGACGCTGCTCGTCCCGTGGGCCAAGTGGACAGACATATCCAGCTGCTGGTGCATGGCGTGGGGCAGGCAGGTGAGGGCTGTGGGGCAGGGGGGGGAGTGACCAAATGCGGTTCCACAGTCCTCTGGGACTTCTCTTCTTACACCAGCTCCAGGCCCCCCTCGAGCAGGAGCTGGGTGGGAAGGGATAGGCTCCTGGGATGTTGAAGGGTGGGACCTATAGCTGGCTAAAATGCAGCCACGTGTCTGAACTGGGTGACCATGTGGATAGATGGTGGTCCCACTGGCCAGATACTGGGGTGGGTTTGGGATACATTGAGCCCAAGGTATCCAATAGGCAACTGGCTCATTTATTTATGGCTCAATAAATGTATACTAGCATTGGGCTAAGACTGTTACATATGAGATAGATGCTATTATTATTCCCACTGTATTGAGGGAGGCACTGAGGCTTTGAGAGGTAAGACTCGCCTGTCACACGCTGAGTAGCTTGGCAGAACTAGAACTTAGTGCTGGCTGCCTCTGGTGCACGGGAGCCTGTTTGAGTCTGCGTTAAGGGATGAGTTGGGGTGGCTGGATCTTCTGCCAGTGTCTCCACCTCCCCACCGTGTCCAGGTCCTGAGATCACAGATGAGCTCGTGCGGGTTCTGCGTCGGCGCCTGGATGAGGCCACACTAGACGTCATCACAGTCATGCTCGTGCGGAACTGCAAGCTGACGCCAGCTGACGTGGAGGTCAGCTCCCTCCCAGGCTCCCTGCGTGACTGCACCACAGCTGCCAGGACAGTCGCAGCCAGAACCTCTTTCTTCAGCTCTGACTCCCCTTCCTTCCCTCTCTGCAGTTCATCCAGCCCCCAGGGAGTCTGCCCTCGGAGGTGCTGCACCTGGCACTGCCACCCTCCTGCCGGCCCTGGCTTCCCGCCCTGGCCTGGTACCTGCGGCAGAACCTGCTCATCTTCCTGCACTCCCCCAAGTACACCGACAGCAACAGCCGGAACCACTTCCAGGTGAGGCTGCACCCCCAGTCCACCCTTGCATGCCTGCTTGCTGAGTTAGATGTTTTCTACAGATGCCCCCCCCAACCCATGTACCTTTGTACACCCATGGATCTCTGTACACCCCAGCCCTGCCCCGGCCTTTATTACCTGCCTGTGTCTTCCTTTGCTCTTGTGTGTACCTGTTCCCCACTCTTCCTGTGGACACCTGGTCCCTGATGGCTTTTGTCCACTTGCCTGGTCTTAGCGCTCGGTGGCCCTTCTCTCCCCAGCATCCACTCCCACCACAGGGTGGCCTCCCCGACTTGGACATCTACTTGTACAACAAGCCTGGAGGACAGGGTACTGGGGGCAAAGGTACAATGCAGCCCTGGGCCCATGGCGCCACGGGGTGTGGGAAAGCCTCTTCCCGTCCTGCAGCTGGATTGGGTGGGGAGGGGCAGGGCCCGGAAGTCCCAGAGCTGAGCTTTCCTTTTGGATTTCTACCCAGGGGTTGCCTGCATCACTCTAGCTTTTGTGGATGAGGAGGGAGCCCCCATCTCACTGGCATCATGGCCCCCCTCTTCTCCGGGGCCCCCAGACCCACTGCAGGAGGAGGAGTTCGAGCAGCTGACTCAAGTCACTCGCTGCCCAGTCCTGCCGGACAGTTCTTCAGGTGGAGCAGCTTGGTCAGAGAAGGGAGTGTTCATTTAATGCTGTGGAAACCAGGGACACACTCAAGCAGCCCCCATTCTTTCTTCCAGCTCCAAGCGGGTCCCCACGGCTTCGATTAGATGTGTGGGAAAAGGGGAACATAAGCATTGTGCAGCTGGAGGAGAAGCTCCGAACAGCAGCTCGCCAGGCCCTGGCAGATGCCATCATGGAGCTCTGGCTGCTGCCAGCGCCACTGTGTACAGAGGATACATCTACAGGTACGTGGAGTCTGGAGAACCCCACAGATCCAGGTGAGGCAGTGTTCCAGGTCAGGATGCCAGGAGAGTCTGGGGAGACATGGCAAAGGCTGCATCTAAAATACACATTCAACAGTTGTCCATCACCTTCTCTGCATCAGCAAGGTGATACACTTGATAGAAATGTATGTGTGCAATTGGTCACTCAGGTTAGGGGTATATGACTAGGAACTCCCTACACACACACACACAACAACCAGGAACTCCCTACACACACACACATACACACCCTGCCATTCAGGAACAGTTGTAGTATGTAAATGCATGTCTGTGTCTTACCAGTTTGGGGGCTGGCTGGGTTGCAGGAACAGGTAGAGTAAGTAAATGGCACGTCTGTCTCTTACCAGTCTTGGGGCTGGCTGGGTTGTCTGAAATGGGGGTTGATGGTCAGTGATAGGAGTCTGTAATGCCTGGTGCCCACAGGAAGTCTCAGGAGTGGGTCACTGGATACCAAGAGCCCTGCAGGCCGAGCCAGCACCTTTCCCCCCAGCCCTGGCCCTGGCGAACCTGTGACTCCCCCCAGCAAAGCTGGCCGGCGTAGCTTCTGGGACATGCTGGTAATGGGAGAAAGGGAGGTGGTGAAGTTGATCTCTGCCTTCTTGCCTGCCTCCTGTCTCCCCTCTCTATTCCCTGGAGGCCCTGCCCCAGAGCTCCTGTTATATGAAACTACTCTGTCCCTTAGACAGGAGTGTACAGAGCATGGCATGTTCTCACTTATATATAGATAGCCTCAGCTTAAGTGTTTTCATTCCCTCTTTCCTTGTCAGATCCTCACAGCCTGCAAGATTTCAGCAGGCCTGTTACTAGTGAGGCCACTGAGAATCTGGAAAGTTGAGTAGCCTGCTCAAGGCTGCTTGGTCAGCCTCCAGTTCTTCTGGGCTCTTATAACTATTCTTGAATGCCTCCATCCTCCACCACATTCCCCTTCCCAGTAGCCCCTCCTCATTCACTGCATTGCCCCCAGAGTAAAACAGAATGTGGGGACTTGGGTTCCCCCAAAACAACTGACGACATTGTCCTGGATCGGCCAGAAGACACTCGGGGTCGAAGGCGTCACAAAACGGAAAGCGTTCGGACTCCAGGTGGGACTGAGCGGGCAGCGGGCCCAGAGTCTGGGGCCCAGAGACAAAGGTATGTGTGTTATCATGGAAAGTGTGCTGTGGAGTCACAGGGGTTATTGAGTGCATGTGAACATACAGGTCTTATGTGTGGGTACGAGGCTGTTTATCCTGCTGTGTCTTCAGACGGAGGACCACACAGCTGGAAGAGGGCGAGGCGGGCACCCTGCAGCCTGTGCTTGCTCGTGTTGCTCAGCGCTGGATGGAGTTCATGGTTCAGATCGGTGAGACCCCTCTCCCACCCCCGAGCCTGTGGCCCAGCCCCCAGCCCCCAGCTCCGAGCCCCACCACGACCTCTGTGCCCGGGATCCAGGATGCGCCTCGGTGTCCAGGAGCTCCACTCACATGGTGTCCCGCTTCCTCCTCCCATCCGTCCTGTCTGAGTTCACCACTCTGGTCACCTCGATGGCTGGCGACACCAGTGTCCGCATCTTTGAGCAGCATTTGTGAGTTTGGGGTCTCGTGGAAGCTGAGGTGGGAGAGGCGATGGCCAGGGGATGGGCCCTGGATAGTCTGCTTTCTGTCCATCCCTCCCTCCCACTAGGACTCCTGAGCCAGAGCTCTTCAGTCCTTGTTCCCTTGGACAGCTGGGCCCACCGCCCCGCCCGGCAACTGAGCGGCACCTGCTGCTTCTGGGCAGGAACTTCTCACAGTGGAGGAGGCCCACCCAGCAGGGTGAGGCCACAGCCTGCAGTGGGGGTGGGGGTCTCAGAGGGACTGATCCTGTAACCTCTGACCCTGTGGGGGGCAGTGAGGGATTGAGAGGGATCAGTCCCAAGACCTTCATTTTGCCCCTTGACCCCATAGCTGCCAAAGCCGTGCAGCGCTTTGAGCCGGGAGGTGACGGGAGCGTGGGGCGAAATGCTCCCCGGCAGAGGTTCTTGCTGCTGGAGGTCGTGGACAAAAAGGTAGGCATGGGGCCAGGGCCTGGGTGGTAGGTGGGTGGGCTGTGATCCCACTGACGCTGAGCCTTGACCTCCAGCTCCAGCTGCTGACCTACAACTGGGCTCCAGACCTGGGGGCGGCCCTGGGCCGAGCTCTGGTTCGCCTCGTGCAGTGGCAGAACGCGCGCGCCCATCTCATCTTCTGCCTCCTCAGCCAGAAGCTGGGGCTCTTCCACCACTACGGCCAGCTGGACTTCCCAGTGCGGGACGAAAAGGTGCCTGCCGTCTGGGCCCCTCCCCTCCTGAGCGGTCAGCTAAAGGAAGCTGCCGTCCAGAAACAGGAGAGGGGGCAGGCTGAGAGCAGAGGTCATAGGGAGGGCGAGTCGGGGGGACAGCCCCGGGTGGGAGAGGGGGTCTGAGGGCAGGGGCCCCAGACCCCTTGCGAGGCTTCGTCTCTCTCAGGAGCCAAACCCATTCCTGCTGCCGACCATGGAAGCAGAGACCCTCATCCGGAGTGCAAGCCCCCCCCTGAGCCGTGAGCAGGGCCGGCTGAGTGGGTCCTCGCGGGGCGGGGGCCCCCTTCCCCTGGACACGTTCCCCTTCGATGAGGCCCTGAGGGATATCACGGCCACCCGCCCCAGCTCCTCCCTCGGCCCTGTGCCCAGACCACCCGATCCCGTCACCTACCACGGACAACAGTTCCTGGAGATCAAGATGGCAGAGCGCAGAGGTGAGCATGCTGGGCCAGGCGGCAGGCAGGGCCAGCTGTGGAGTCTGGCAGGAAGAGGGGCGGTTGCTCCTGGGGTCTGCTACTAAAAGCCTCCAACCCCTAGAGCTGGAGCGCCAGATGAAGATGGAGAACCTGTTTGTCACGTGGCAGCAGCGCTCCGCCCCAGCCAGCATGCCCATCAGTGTGAGTGCCCCATTCGCGTCCTCCGGGACCATCCCGTGACTCTGCCCTGGCCACCAGCCCGGTGCTCACTGTCCATTTCCCCAGGCCGGGGAGCTGGAGACCCTGAAACAGTCGTCCCGCCTGGTGCATTACTGTGCAACAGCCCTGCTCTTCGACCCTGCAGCCTGGCTGCATGGGCCCCCAGAGACTTCGGGGCCCCCGGAGGGACAGGTGAGGCTCCAGACTCTGAATTTCTCTGGGGGACCCCCGTTTCTTCACCCCTGAGAGGGTGGCTGCCAGAGGGTAGAGTCTCTCTTAACCTCCACCCCAACAGCGGCGCCATCGCCCTGAGTCAGCCTCGGGAAGCCGAGAATCCCCCGCCAGCTGCGACTCCTCGGATGGGCCTCCGCTGGGTGCTCGGGAGGAGCCTTGGTTGAAGGAGCTGAGCTTGGCCTTCCTGCAGCAGTACGTGCAGTATCTGCAGAGCATGGGCTTTGTGCTGGTGCCGCTGCGGCCCCCCTCGCCTGCCCGCAGGTGAGCCCCTCTCGTCTCCCTGCTCTCTTCTCCTCCTCCATGGCAGGTGAGGCCCGACACTCCCTTCCCCTTGGGTCCTGCTTGGGTAATGAGGGCCATGTGCACATTCAGCTCACCAGGCCCACACTGTGACACAGTTCATTTCACATATCCAGATATGTGAGTTTGTTTTCTCTCTCCTCTCTGTTTTCAGTTTGATGCCTTTTCAGAGTAGTAAATGTAAGTCATGCTTTCTTACTCAAGATGCCCCCTATGCCCAGAAAGCCATTTCCCACCTCCTTAGTGTTTCTGTAACCAGCTCTCCATCTCCCCGGCCTCCCACTCTCTCCCAGACCTTAGGAAGAGGACAGGCCTGCACCTCCAGGATGTTTCATTTGGTTGCCCCTCTCATTTCTCTGGGACAGACCCCAGGAGGAACTCTGCTCATTGCCCTCCACAGCCAGGTCCCAGCAGTAGGGATTTCTCTGGCATTCACATCCTTCCCATTCAGTTATGTTCTTCCTAGAAGTCAGAATTCCCTTTTAAAACCAAAGACACTAAGGTTAAATATATGTTTCTAGAGGAAAATTTTAAATCAAGTCTTCCTCCCTCTCAAGTCTCTCCAATCAATAGGCTTGGTCCCTATTTCCTTGAGGGTTAACTGGGACATTTCTTCTTGCCAAAGGTTTTGACCCCCCGCCCACCCCCAGCAACAGCTCCAGCAGTTTGTAGTCCTGAGTATGATGAGTGTATTTCATTGGCTCTTTCTATATTGTCCTCATTCACAGTACTTCTCTTTATCCCCTTTGTCTCTGAGTTGAGAAGGGAAGAACAATAGGCTTTAGATCACTGAAACTGACCTTTCCTGTTCAAAAGAGAACCCCTTTTCCCTCTCAGAGGAACCGTCCTTACCAGGGCATCAAGCGTCCACTTGAGCTTTCCCCATGAAGTCTCAAGATGGACATCACCCACTCCTCTCCCATCCTCCCCTGCTGCCCCCAACAAGCAGGTACTGCCATATCCCACAGGGGTCTCCCTTTAGTCACAGCAGCCTCGGTGGCCTCACCCTCATCCTCTTGCTGGCAGAGAGAGACCTGTCTCCACCTCCCCTTAGAGCAGCACATGCTGTGGAAAGAGCCCCGCCCCACAGTGTGGCCCCGGACTCCGCACTCAGCCTTCCCATTGACCCAGCATGGGACCCAAGCATCTTCTTCCCTCCTCTGGGCCTGTCTCCTCGCCTCCACAGTGACTCCATGTGAGCTGGTTCCGGGTCTGACAGCAGGGACCCTTCACCCCACAGGCCTGCCTCACCCCCTTGTCCCTCTTCCTTTTCTGCAGCACCAGTCGGCTTCGGGCTATGGCTATCCTTGGAACAGAAGGACGGGGGTCCTTTTCCTGCCCGAAAACCAAGGCTGAAGGGAGCCCCAAGGTAAACACCTTGTCATGTGCCTTCCCCAGCAGTGAAATCAGCAATGCCTCAGACACCAGCATCACTGAGCCTGAATTATTTGCCCAAGGCCTAAAGTCAGGGGCCCTGGATAATGACTGAGGTCATTGATCCCAGCCTGACACCATTAAAGTCACTGGCCGGGGGGCCTGCTTCCCCAGTGAGCCCCCATTCTTACCCCTAAACCCCAGTCTTTCTCCTTTCTGCAGAGCACGGGCTCTTCAGTCACCACATACCACCTGCAGCGGGCACTGCCTGGGGGCATCATCCTCATGGAGCTGGCTTTTCAGGTAAACAGGCGGAGCACCACGTGAGGAGACCCAGGCCTTCCTGTCTCTTGCCCTCCTGACCTCGTCTTCATCCTCTCTCCAGGGCTGTTATTTCTGTGTTAAACAGTTTGCTCTGGAATGTTCCCGAATCCCCATGGGGCAGGCTGTCAACTCTCAGGTAAGTGCTGAGGACAGAGGGCTGTGGGGTCCAAGTGTAGCCCCAGCAATGATCTGCTGCTGTGGGTGGCCGGGTCATTCCAGTGCCATGATTGGCCCAGCTACCAGTCACACTGCAGTAGTCCAGTGCCCTATTCAGGCATGGCACTGGGGCAGAAGGCAGTGCAGCAGAAGGCGGTCTAGCCCTGTAGTCATTCTGGCACTGACCATAGATGGTTGGGCAGTGAGGACATTTGAGCTGAATGGGTGATGTGACACATGGGTGGGCCAGTGCCAGTCCTGGCTTAGAGCTGGGGACAGCCTAGAACTGTTCATATAGTCACTAACACTTAGAATGTGGACTAGAGTCCCCACCCATACAGTATACCCCCACACTTACTTTTATTTCTATCCCTGATTGCCTGAAGGCAGGGCTTCTGTACCCCATGAGGGCTGAGCACTCAGGAGGGCTCTGAATGAATGAATGAGTCAGGACCGAGTGTGGTCAGGGACCTGAAGCCCTCCAGCCTTGCGTGAGTTTGGCCCCTTTGGATTGTCAGGCTTGTGCAAGGGTCTCTGCCTTCTTGTACCTCGAGTTTCTAAGAGATCAGGGTCTGACTAGGCACAGGCTGTCACCTTCCAGGACAGACGGCATACACTCCTCCCAAATCCGGACAGCTTCAGATCCAGCTCATAGGTGGTGGGCTCTGACTCAGGTGTGGATGCCTGGTCTAGTCATCACAGGAGAGTGAGATCCAGGAAAGCTTGGTGACTTCAGTGTAGGAACCTGCCTGGGCCAGGGCACAGCAGGGAGATTGGACGGGCAGGTACTCTTCCACACTTTGCTGTAGTATTGGCGGGACGGACCCACTTCATTATTCTCTTGAGCTTCCTGAAGTCTTGACTTCCCTGATCTCTATCCAGCTTGGCTCTCTCTGCCCCTGCATATCTAATCTGTATCCCTACTTAGATTTCTAAGTTGCTTTATTATTGCTATTAGTTAGTAAGTGCTTAGTATACATCCTAAGCAAAGAGGAGAATTTTATTCCTGCTGTACAGATGGGGAAACTGAGGTTCACAGAGGTGAAGTGATATGCCCCTGGGACACAGCTAGTTGGTAGCAGTAATGGAGCTGCAATCTAAGGCTCATCCTTGGCGACTGCAGTGTTTATCACGCTGCTTCAAATTTATGAGGGCCTTTCCTTTATTTCCATAGTGGATGGGGAAACGGAAGCAGAGAGGTCATGGCTTACCCAGGGTCCTGCAGCTACTCTGACTCCTAGGCAATTGCCTCGTTTACAGTCATTGATTTCCTTTCCTACTAGTTTTTTGGCCAGTGCCACCAAGGGGCATGCTCATGTAGATTCTGCCATTCCAGCCTCACTTATCCAACTGTTAATACACTCTCAGTAATGCTGATTTCCTCCAAGAGAAGCCCAGCTCCATGTCTCTGCCTTCCTTTCTTCCTCCTTCAGTGGTTTGTTCATTCATTCATTCATTCATTCACAGATCAACTAGAGAAGGCCCACCCTGGGCTAGCCTTGACAGGATATCCCAGATGAAGCTTTACAAATGAGTGGGAGTTAGTCAGCTTTGGGGGTCAGTGGGAGCAGCATTTAGGCAAAGAGAATGGCCGGTACAAAAGTGTAGAGAAAATACGTGATATATACTTGGGAAGGGCAAGTAATTTGATGAGAAGATAAAGCTGGAGAGATGAGAAGTGACCAGGAAAACCTAATAGTAATTACACACCTGGCCTACCCAGCCCACCCTGTTTAAAACCGCACCTGCTTTATCACTTGATTTTCCATAACAATCTACTAATGTGCTGTGTATTCATTTACTCTGATGTTTATTATCCTGTCCCCACTGCTAGACTGTAAGCTCCTTGAGGGCAAGGGTGTGTATCCCCAGCACCTAGAACAGTACCAGGTAGGCACCTGGTAGGCATTCAGCAAGTATTTATTGCATGAGTAAATCTCTGCTGGACTTGAATGGACTCTGAGATACAGAGTTCAAAGGTTCATCTCTCAAAATGGTCAGTTTCATGTCAAAAGTTACAACACAGATGAATGTAATGAAGAGGGCTTCTCACAGAAGCGTTTCTGGCAGAGGGACCCACAGGATTGGGTGAACTGTGAGCGGCGTTTTCCCATGCAGGAGGAGGGAAGTGTGAGGGTGCGCTGGGCAGCCTGCCATCGTTTCCTGACCTGGTCCCCCCACCACCTCCCCAGCTCTCCATGCTGTTCACAGAGGAGTGCGACAGGGTGCGGGATCTGATGCACGTGCACTCATTCAGCTACGACTTCCACCTGCGCCTCGTGCATCAGCACGTGCTGGGCGCCCACTTGGTGCTACGGCACGGCTACCACCTGACCACCTTCCTGCGACACTTCCTGGCCCACCACCCTGATGGGCCCCACTTCGGCCGCAACCACATTTACCAAGGTCAGTGCCCAAGGGCAAGCCAGTGAACCCGGAAAAGAACAGGCCGCAAGCCAGGCCCGAAGGGACCACTTCCGGGGGCCAGACCTTGTCTCTGTCTCTCCTCTCCTGTATTGTCAGTCGCCTTGTGTCACCCGGACCCTGTCCTCACCTTCTGTCTTAAGTAACTCCCAGTCTGTTTCCTAAGTTTAGGTCCTGTGCTCTGTCCCCTCTCCATGTCCCACAGGAGCTCCCCAGAAAGACTCAGTCTGCTGGTCAGTCAGAGCCTCGGGGACTGCTGTCCTCCAGCCCACCAGGTGACTGTGTCTGTCTGGGGCTCAGTGTCTCCTGTAACTCGCCCCTCAGGGACCCTGGAGCTCCCCACCCCGCTCATCGCTGCCCACCAGCTGTACAACTATGTGGCCGACCACGCCAGCTCCTACCACATGAAGCCGCTCCGGATGGCCCGGCCAGGAGGCCCGGAGCACAACGAGTACGCCCTGGTGTCGGCGTGGCACAGGTAAGGCGGGAGGGGACAGGTGGAGCTGGAGCCGGGGCCGTCCTTGCCACAGGCGGACCCGTGTTCTCCTAGGCCGAAAGGGCGGGCCTGGCTCCCTCGGAACCCCAGGCTTGACATCTCCCCCACCCCCACTGCTCAGCTCTGGCTCCTACCTCGACTCTGAGGGACTTCGTCACCAGGACGACTTCGACGTGTCTCTGCTTGTCTGTCACTGCGCTGCACCCTTCGAGGAGCAGGGAGAGGCCGAGCGACATGTTCTTCGGTCAGCAGACCCCATGCCTCGAATGCAGCTCTTGCCTGGTGGCCCCCCGTCCTTGCCCTGTCTCTCCTACCGACTGTCACACTCCTGCCCCTGCCCACCCTAGGCTGCAGTTCTTCGTGGTGCTCACCAGCCAACGAGAGCTGTTCCCCAGACTCACTGCGGACATGCGCCGGCTCCGGAAGCCTCCCAGACTGACGCCTGAGCCAGAGGCCCCTGGGAGCTCAGCCAGTAGCCCTGGGGAGGCCTCCGGGGCCGGTTTGGCCCCCGGACCAGCTCCCCTCTTCCCCCCACTGGCTGCAGAGGTGGGTGTGGCACGGGCACGGCTGGCTCAGCTGGTTCGGCTGGCTGGAGGGCACTGCCGGCGGGACACCCTTTGGAAGCGCCTCTTCTTGCTGGAACCACCAGGACCTGATCGGCTGAGGCTAGGGGGGCGCCTGGCCCTGGCCGAGCTGGAGGAGCTCCTAGAAGCAGTCCATGCCAAATCCATTGGGGACATTGATCCGCAGCTGGTAAGGGGGTGGGACGGGTGCTTGGAATGCCACCAGCAGCCAGGGTAAAGGTTGCAGGAGTCTCAGAGGTGGCTCTGGGACAACAGATCCATGCCTGTGGACGTTCCCCCAGGACTGCTTCCTGTCTATGACAGTCTCCTGGTACCAGAGCCTGATCAAGGTTCTCCTGAGCCGCTTTCCCCAGAGCTGTCGCCATTTCCAGAGCCCAGACTTGGGAACTCAGTACCTGGTAAGTTTCTTTGACCTTTCTCTGAAAGAAATCCTCATCAGAGGGATGACAGGGTCCCCCTCAAGGAGCCCCAGCCTGACTACATAGGCTCTGGAGGGAGGTTGAGATGGAGTGACTACACAGGTAGACAGGAGGAAAACTCTTCAAGCACCAAGCCATAGCATGTGACTCACTGAGAATAACCAAGGGCTGTGCTCTCAGGACCCTCAAAGGCACCAACCCTGGCCAGTGATCCCAAGGGCCAAGCTCTGGAACCTTCTAAGTGGTTAGTTCATGGAGGCTCAAGTCCCAGAAAGGACTTCTTGGGCTTTCAAGACTTTTTACCAAAGGGTGGTCCTCGTACCAGCAGCATCAGCCCCACCTAGGAGCTGGCTGAAGTGCAGATTCAAGTCTCCACACCGAACCTGCTGGCCCAGGAGCTGTTTTTCCACCATCTCCACAAGTGCACATTAGAGGCTGATAGGTTGCTGGGAAGTGCAGTGGAGAGAAGAGAGTTATCTCAGTGGACACTAGGGACGGAAAGACTCAAGGATGGGCCCAGTTGAGAGCAGCAGTTTAGGAGGGGTGAGGTTCAAGAGACTTCTGGGAAAAAAGTGCTCGGTCCATGGTGAGGGGTCCTGCCACATGGTGCTTGTGGGGAAGACAAAGCATCACCCAGAAGCTGAGGTTAGTTAGTTAGGGTAAGGCTGCAGTAGTGTGGGCGAGTGTGAGCAGATGGTGGTGCTTCTGTGGGTGGCAAGAATGCTGGAGCAGGAATGAGTTTGGGGGAAGGGGAATGAGTTGAGTCAAGTCCCAAGAGGACCTTGCAGGACCACAGTCTAGAAGGTCTACGGATATCGAGGACTGGAGCTCAGGAGAGAGGAGTGTAGGCAGCACTTATATGAACAGGTGGTCACTGAAGCCCCAGGCATAGAAGAAACTGCTTGGAGAGAGATCACAAAGCTGGGCTACACGGACGGACATCCGGGAGGCCAGAGACACAAAACCCAGGAGGCAGGGAAGGCTCTCGTTGAGGGGAGAGGGCCCCCCTCTGTTGCTGGGCTTCAGATGGTGATGCCCGCTTGTGCAGGGCCTTCCAGTCAAGGACTACCCGCCTCATCCTGACTTCGCCAGACAGGCTGACTGGGAGCCAGTGAGGATGAGGAGCAAGGTTGCAGCGCGGGCGGGGTCAGGTGGTAATGAAAGCCGGCCTTCCTCAGGCCGGTCCCACCTCCAGGATGCCCTCATGGAGAGTCTCTCCCTCACTGATCATCTCATTGTGTCTTTGGCTCTAGGTTGTGCTGAATCAGAAGTTCACGGACTGTTTTGTGCTAGTGTTTCTGGACTCCCACTTGGGAAAGACGGTGAGAACAGGGGTGGGGGGTTGTTGAGGGGCTTTGTGTCAGCCCCAGTGGGAGGCTGTACCCCAAATGCTCCACCCCAGAGCCTGCTGAGGTTGGGGAGCCCTGCTTCCTGGGCCCAGCCTGCCTGCCTCTCACCACTGCACCCACCCCCTGTTCCTTAGTCTCTGACGGTGGTTTTCCGAGAGCCCTTCCCCGTGCAGCCCCAGGACAGCGAGAGCCCCCCCGCCCAGCTGGTCTCCACCTACCACCACCTGGAGTCTGTCATCAATACAGCCTGCTTCACCCTCTGGACCCGCCTCCTCTGAGGGACAGGTCACTGAATGTCCTCGAATCATGGCTCTGGAAGGTTGCCCACTTGAAATCTTAGACCAGCCCTTCCAGGTCCCTGGGCAAGATTGGACACTGAGGGATGTCAGAGGTCATGTGAATGTGTCTTGAGGGCCTGGTAGCAGGAGCTACGCTCCTTAAACACTTGCTGCCAGTGAGCAGCGCAGAGCTCCAGAGGGTCCGCTCACCTCCTGAGGTGCCCATGTCCTCTAAGGTCCCCGGGCCCTTCCAGAAGGAGACTCCTCTTTTCTGCTCACCTGGCTGAGTCTGGGAATTCTTCATATCAGGTGGCAGGTAGACCCCTTAGAGCTGCTCTGCCTGAATCCTGTCTGACACCCACCTCCCCCACCCCCATCATGAGCCCTCTGGTCATCAGTTCCCACTGGAACGTCACTGCCAGACAACTGCCATTGAGATAAGACACCTCCGTTCGAATCCCAGCTCTGCCTCTGGAGCAGCTGTGGCCATGGGCAAGTCCCTTGGCCGTCGTACCCTTGGTTTGTCTGTACACAAGGAACACACACACAGCAACCCGGCAGACTGGAGGACCTGAACGTGAGCTGTATGGCCCTTCTCTGCAGGAGGGAAACGACCCAAAGAAACTGAAAAGTCAGACACTGTGTGTCCTCCCCCCGCCTCCAATAACACACAAACGTGGAAACGTTCAGCGGGTTGTCTTTATTAGGAGACTCAGTGGCGCTGCTCACCGTCCCAGAGGCGTGTGGCTGGAGCGCAGGACCTCACTGGCCAGCCTGCAGGCGGCCCCTCATCTCCCAGTATGAACGCAGCCAACTCAGGCCCTCTACTGTGTCTCCTGAGGGGAGCAGGGCGCGAGGCATCTCAGCCCATGAGGAGGAAGACAGCCCCTGTCCGACACTGTCCCTCCAGGGGCCAGGCTCAGCCCACCCTCACCTCGAGGCTGGTACTCGCAGCCCACGAAGCCTGTGTATCCTTCATCTTCCAGCAGTTGGAACAGATACGAGAAGTTGAGCTCTCCGGGGCTGTCGGGTTCCCCCCGATCCGGGACCTGTGCCACCTGCACGTGCCCTGGGGGTAGATGCAGGGGGTGGGAAGAGTGGAAGGACAGAGGAGACCTCATGGCAGACCAGGAAGAAGCCAAGAAAGGGGCCTCACCAACAATGGGCAGGAACTCACGCACGTTCCCCGTCAGGTTCCCGTCCATGATCTGCCAGTGGAATAAGTCCTGGGGCAGAGATTCCCACCGTCAGAGACCCTGCAGCCCGCACCACTGTCCCCGGATTTGGAGAACACGGGCCCTCTGAAAAGCGCGCCCTCTCCCCCACTTACCATCTGTAGCTGGAGGTTGGGTCTTCCCACCTTCTGTAAGATGGCTGCCGCTGGGAGAGAAACCAGGGACGGGGGTCATGAGACTCAAGGAGGGCTCGAGAATCAATGGACAGGAGGCGGCAGGGGGCTAGGGGCCTACCCTGCTGGGGCGTGTCCAGGAAGTACCGGGGATCCGTGATGCGGGTGTTTACGGGCTCCAGCAGTCCCACGAGGTTCTCCTGGCAACAGGCCAGATCCATGAGTAGAGCCGCCCCTACTGTGCTTCCCCTCCATATACATATATGCATGAAGTATGTGTGTCTGTATGCGTTTTCACTGTTGTGTGCATGCTCAACCGAGTCCAACTTTGAGACCTCATGGACTGTAGCCCGCCAGCCTCCTCTGTCCATGGGATTTCCCAGGCCAGAATACTGGAGTGGGTTGCCATTTCTTCTTCCAGACGACCTTCCTGACCCAAGGATCAAACCCACGTCTCCTGCATTGGTAGGCAGATTCTTTACCACTGTGACATCTAGGAAGTCCCTTTCACTGTCTCACCTGAGCCAAAACCTCAGCTGCGTGCCTGAGGTTCTCCAGGAAAACTGTCTCCATTTCACCCCTGACCGCGGCTCTGTCAGCCCCCTTGGGCACTCGGCCAGCCATCAGGTGAATCCTGTGGGGAAAATGGGGCTGGAGGGAGCTGTGGAGTCCATCCTCAGCGAAGAAGCCTTCACTCCCACGCTCCCTGGGCACTTCACTTCCTCCCACTGCACCAGCCTCCCGTCTCCCCAGGTCTCCAGTCAGGACCACCTGGCTGTGGTGCTCAGGCCTCCCAGCGCCCTCAAACACTTATGTCAATGTAAGGCCAAGACCTTTCCCAGATTCCTTCTGAAGGCCCACCATCCTCCTGCTTCAGAGACCACAGGTCCTCACTCAGCCCCTCCTGTGCATCCAGATTCTTCTGTTCCATGGCCCTTCTCCTCAGGCCTCACCTTTAAAAAATTACTTTGACCCTTATGCTCAGGTATTCCATGCTGCTTGCCTCTCCTCCTTGCATCTGTTTCTTAGCTTCTTCCCATCTGTTTTCTGCACACACACTCCTCCCTCTGCCCCATAACTGCTTGTTGCCAGTTCCTTCTCAGCCTGGTTGCCCTGTGCAGGATTTGACATTTACCTTGATCAGCCCCACTCTGAGTCCCCCACCTTCTCCCTTCACCGCCTCATCTTTCTCAGCCACCTCCAAAGCAGATAGGCTTCACCTCCAGCCTCATAAACTCTGTGGAATACACCAAGCCCCAGGGGCGTGAGGCTACTGCATCCCTGCCTGGAATGCTCCTTTGATAAGCAAGTACCCACCACTGAAACCCAGTTCTACATCACTATCTGTTAAGAAGCTTTCTCTGATCCCAGACCGAGTTAGTACCCACTCTGCTCCCAGAGTCTCCTTGAACTGACCAGTCCTCTTAATGGACCACTGCTTTGTTGACTGTGTTATGTCCCAGGTCATACTGAGTTCCCAGCATGAGGTGAGCAAGAAAGAGTTGCAAACTGAGTGACATACACACAGATGAAATGCAAAAGGCGATTTACAAGGGACCAGGACTGAAGAGGCAGAGACGGCACTACCCCTGAGCCTCCTCTCGCGGATTATGGGGGCGGGGGAGTGGAGAGGGGAGGTTACCTGGAACAGCCCAGAGCCTTAGCGTACAGCACCGCCTGCTCCAGCCCTTCTCGGAAGGCCGCCTGCCTCCCGGGAACAGCCCCCAGCCCATTCTCCCCCTTCTCTCTGTCTCCTGCGGAAAGAATAGGCCTCAACTCCCTGCTCCTTCCCCTCCGGCCCCACCCTGTCCCGGCCCCGGCCCTCCCGGCGCACCCGGGGGCATGTTGATTAGCACGACTTGTAGCCCGGCTTCCCGCGCCGCGCGCGCCAGCGCCTCCGGCGGCTCCGCATACGGCCAGCCGATCTCGGCCGCTTCGAAGCCCGAACTGCCCGCGGCCCGGAGCCGCGCGGGAAAGCCCGAGAGCTCCGGGAACAACCACGACACGTTGGCCGAGAAGCGGAGTGGAGCCATGGCTACTCGAGAGCGCGCGCGGGGCGGAGTCTCCGCGTCTAGAAGCCTGCAATCACGGGCAGGGTCTAGCGGGGGACTAGAGGGTCCGAGCGGCGTGCAGGGCCGGGGAAAAGGCCGGAGGGCCGCGCTTGTGGGGCGGGGCGGGGTAGAGGGTGGAGGACTCGGAAGTGGTGGAGGAACCCGGCCCGGCCGCGTGGGGGCGCGCTGGCGCCGCGAGCTGGGTGCCGGCCCTCGGGCTGGGAGACTCGTGGGTGGTAAGAGCCGCGGACCTGCCAGGAAAGTGCACTTTCCCGGACGGGAGGGGAAGGCACGGGGAGGGGGCGCGGGCCCAGTTAGGGTGAAGGAACATGGATGCCAACAAACGCTTGGTGTTTACCTTCATTATAACCAGAGTATCTGTTCATTAAAGAATTTTGAAAGCCATGTGCCACACCACTCACCCGTTAACTTTCCTGTACAGGGCAAAAACTAAACACGTGCAGTCTTGTCTTAGAAAACCCTGATCACAGTGTATATGAGGTCTTATGGAATATTATTTCGTTTTCCCCGAGAAAACCTTGAATTAGCTGCTCATTCCACACCTGAACAGCCTAGAACTGACCATGCTTACAAGGGTTTCAAAGTGTGTGTGTGTGCGCGCGCGCGCGTGTGCGTGCTATAAAAGCTCTTTAATGCACCTTTTGGTTCCATCTCTGTACCGTTTTCTCAGGTTGCTCTTGTAGGTACAAAGTTCAAAGTCCTTTGTAAGGAAAACTGACCCCACCCCTGGACTCCGCACCGAGCGGCTGTGGGCGGGCTGTCCCCTCTCAGCCCCAGCTGATTGGGCCACGGAAAGACATCTGATCCAAGCGCAGCCAATCCACAGACGGGCCCGAGACCCTTGTCCAGTTTGTAAAGCTAAATCTGGCCAATTAGATTCCCTCTTGGAGAGTTCTAACAAGGAAATGCTGAGAGCCAAGTAAGCGATAGGTTTGGCAGATGGTTTTGGCTGTAGAAACTAAATAAGCCGGAATCAAGTGGTGAAGAAAATTAGAACAGAGAAGGAGAATAACCGAACACTACGAGTAGGCGTAGCACATTGAGATACCGCTGCTTTAGAGTTCCCAGGTCTACGCTTCCCCAAGCCAGGATGTTTAGACTTTCCCTGGTTTCTGTGTCTGTAGTCTCCAGGTGTTTCTTCAGATCATCCGAATAGATTTATTTCAGCCACACTAATCCAATTGAATCCCTGGTGGCTCAGAGGTTAAAGCGGCTGCCTGCAATGCGAGAGACCTGGGTTCGATCCCTGGGTCGGGAAAATACCCTGGAGAAGGAAATGGCAACCCATCCCAGTATTCTTGCCTGGAGAATCCCACGGACAGAGGAGCCTGGTGGGCTACAGTCCACGGGGTCGCAAAGAGTCGGACACGACTGAGCGACTTCACCTTCACGTTCAACCCAATTGAATAGGCAGATTCCAGGTTGGGATTACATGGTGAAAAAGTAGGACCATGCTTAAGTTTTTTATGACTGTGCTAATGTGCTGTGGGCGCTAAGTCGCTTCTGTTGTGTCCGACTCTGTGCGACCCTATGGACTACAGCTGGCCAGGCTCCTCTGTCCATGTCCATGGGATTATCCAGGGGAGAAACCTGGAGTGGGTTGCCGCTCCCTCCTCCAGGGAATCTTCCCGACCCACGGATCTAACCCGTCCCAAGTCTATCTGCATTGGCAGGCCGGATTCTTACCACTAGCGCCACCTGGGAATGGTTTCTCAAAAACGTAATTTTACACTCAGATGACACATGCATAGAAGCCATCTTGACCTGCTTCCTGTGCTAATTTTGACAAAAGGCAGCTTGAAGTGCAACCTCAGGAGAACCCCTGTCCACTGTCTTCTGTCACTGCTCACTTGCATCTCAAGTCAGGCTCACCCTGCCACCCCGGGGCCAGGCTGAGAGAATTAATCCAAGTTCCTGGCAGGTACTGTTTCTTCAGCCCTGCCTCCACGAACAGACGGATGTCAGCTCACCTGAAATCAAATCACTTTATTTCTTGCCCCTCTGCATTTTACTTTGAACTCTGACTCCTCCAGGAACATGTTTCTTGGAAGAAAGTGAAAATGAAAGTCACTCAGTCGTGTCCGACTCCTTGCGACCCCACTCACCATAGAGTCCATGGAATTCTCCAGGCCAGAATACTGGAGTGGATAGCCTTTCCCTTCTCCAGAGGATCTTCCCAACCCAGGGATCAAACCCAGGTCTCCCGCATTGCAGGTGGATTCTTTACCAGCTGATCTATCCAGAAAGCCTGACATGTTTCTTGGGTACTGTCCAATCAGGATATGGCCTCACTAAGCTTAGCATTTTAATCGGTCTCAAGTTCAGCATGTTTATGATCCACTGTTGAACGCGGAGTAACATCTAAGGTAAGTAACTCCTTATCAACACTTCACTGTAAATCTCTGAGTATGCAAATTCTATTTAAGACTTTAAAAACACCACCATCTTCTTGGGTCTTTACCAGGAACAAGATTTGTTCAGGCTCCAATGGTCTACTCGTTTTTTGCTTGTATACCCATTTTAGGGCAGCAGAGATAATGTATAAACTAGATGTTCATGACTCACTTTTCTCCTTATATCCACCTTCACATAATGTATCAAAACATATACAAGAGGAGAACAATGCCCAGGAAAATTATTTTCTTTAGTCATCATTTGTCTGTGCCTTATCCCACCTTGCAAAATAAGCATTACACTAAGTTATTATTACAAATCTCGATTCTTTGCATTTAACTTTTCTTTTAAATTTATTTGTTATTTTTGGCTGCACTGAGTCTTCATTGCTACGCATGGACTTCTCATTTCAGTGGCTTCTCCTTGTCGAACACCAGCTCTAGGGCACTCAGGCTTCAGTAGCAAGCGGAGCGTGAGCTCAGTATCAGCAGCTCCCGGACTTAGCAAGCTGTGGCATGTGGGATCTTCCCAGAGCAGGGATTGAACCGGTTTTCCCTGCATTGCAAGGCAGACTTTTAACCACTGGACCACCAGGGAAGTCCTGCATTTAACTTTAATTAAAGAATGTTCACAGGTATGATGATCAATAAGAGAACAAGAGCTTGTGAATAATTATGTGGATAATGGCTGAAACTTGCACGTAGAGTTCAGAGTCTCATTTGATCACCAATTGCACTTGCCAATGTCATAAAAAAATATTGCAACTGATATTTGAAATGCAAATCAAAGCCTTAATGAAATTTCATGTAATACTTTCCAGATTGGCAAAAAAAAAAAAACCTTAAAAGATAGACAATAGCAAGTATTGGAAGGGATTTGAAACAACTGGAACATTTATTCACTGCTGATAGGAGTATAAGTTACTACGACCACTTTGGAAATTAATTTGACATTATCTCTTAAAGCTGAACATTCATATACCTTTGATCTAGCAGTTCCATGTTCAGGTTTATCCCCTTGAGAACTTTGTGGAGGAGAGTACCCAGAATAATTCAGTGATGTTCATAGCAGCACTATTTATGCAGCAAAAATAAGGAACTAACGCAAATGTCCATCAATATATATATATATATATATATATATATATATATATATATATATATATATATATATATATATATATATGAGTTGTAGTATGGCCCTGCAGTGTTGTTTATAAAAGTGAAGGGAAACCAGTGACTTAAATGATAAAATTGAGTTGCTCTTGGATTAGAGTAATGCATGAAGACTTAGTGACTTTGGATCAAATTGAAAACATCAGTATGAACACATCAAATGGATAAATCTCAGAAACATAATTGTGAGTGAAAGAAGCAAATCACAGAGAAATATATACAGTATGATTCCACTTACATGAAGTCGAAAGCAGGGAAAACCAAGCAATACCTTGTGTAGGAATACAAACATCTGTGGTAAGACTATAAAGAAAAGCAAGTGATCACGACCACAAAATTCAAGATGATGGTGACTTCTGGAGAGGGAGAGAAGGGGGTGGTGTTGGAAACTTCAAAATTAAGGGCCATCCCCTTTTTCTGGTGTGTTGTGATCACATACCTTTATTACATTCTCTGTATCTTACATATATTTTATAAATATTTTGTATCTGTTTTATATTTAAAATGATAGCATTTTAAAACTTTTGATATGCTTTATTATCACCTGTTGGCACTTTTTATATTAACATCTTCATTTCACTATCATGAGAATCTCAAGGTTTTTCTACAGACTCAGCTTGTTTGTGTTAGACTATAATTGCTACTTTTTAGATTCAGCGTGTCACTGTTCAGCCTAGTGGTGCTTTACCATATTATGGGCTCAGAACCTGTGGGAGGCAGCCTGTAAAGTGGTCCCTGGTGATCTCCACCTTCTGGTCGTCATGTCCCCTCCCCTTGAATATGGGCTGGACCTTGCAGTTCACTTCAAACAAATAGAATACAGCAAAAATAGAACAATGTCACCTTGGAGATTAGGTTACAAAAAGGCTTTAGCTTATGTTTGGGTATCCTCTTTCACTCACTTGCTCTGAGTAAAACCAGATGCCATATTGTGAGCTGCCCTGCGGAAAGATCTATGTCTATGAGTCTTTCCAGAGCAACTAAGAACTGGCCACAACTTACTGACTAGGGGCCAGTGCCTCTAGCTGGCAACCTGTGAATGAGGTTGGAAGCAGGTCCACTCCCACTGAGCCTTAAGATAACTGTATCCTGACCAACACCTTGACTGCCTCATGACAGACAAGGTTTGAGTCAGAGACATCCAATTAAGCCACACCCAGTTTCCTGGCTACAGAACCTCTTTGGTAGTAAACATTTGTCGTTTAAGCCCCTGAGTTTGGGGTAATTTCTTAGCAGCAATAAATATCTAATAGAGGTTCTCTTTCTTCTCTTGTTTGGGAGAATTATTTCACTTTCACCACTTCTTCATCTTAAGTGTGAATAGGTTCTGCCATCTTCTTATAAGTTCTTCTCTCGACCCAGCCACAGTGATTGGTCAGTGAGTGGACACCTGACCCAAGGTAGACTAACCAGAGTACCTATTATAGACATTGTGGGTTGCCTACCCAATGTCTGTTCCCTCTTTTCTCCTTAGTTGAACCATACCTCATGGGGACATTTTGTTCAGTTGCTAGGTCCTGTCTGACTCTT